GGCAACATGACTGACTTTTTATTGAACATATCGGTCAATCTGTAAGGTCTAGTATTAGAATTGAGGGAGAATATTTTTGTGATGATTGTTCCCTTGTGTCCAAAATATTTCTCTAAAGGCGTAAGTTACTGTCTTGGTTGGCAAATTTGTTACACTTGCACGAAGGGTTTTTTGAATTTGGTTAATAGCAACGCTATTATTGGTTGTTGAATTATAAAATTTTAAAAGAACATGTGTTATGATACGGTACATGATAATCAATTAAAAAGTCGATTTTGAATTTTCTGTAACTTAAGACTTTTTTGATTTTATGTGACGATATATATTCTCATATACTCCATATATTAAATTTAGCTCTGATTTTATATGAATATCTTATTTGAGATTATGTTGATCTTAATATTCATTTAAGAGTCCTGCTGGTCGTTCTGCAGTATTTATTTTAAATATTTCTGCTGGTATTCCGTCCGGACCGGGTGATTTGTTAGTGCCAGCGGCCATTTGCAGCTCCTCAAGGGGAAAACTAGAGGAATTTCGAAAGCTATAGCCTGTTCAGGTTCACTGGCTCTCTTTGCGTGTGTGCGAAATAGTGCGCTTACGATGTAATTAATTTTATCTGCTGATTCCCGCACTTGTTTACAGGTTAAAGTACGAATGTAAAATAGATTTGTGGCAAAAGGATTTCATACCGATAAAAAACACACGTGTGTCGTGTCTGGTTACTTTTATTTACGCTCTGTAATTAAAAGTTATACTGGCAAGAGCGCATTTGATGAAGCTAAATAAGTAAGTGAAATAAATAAACAAATGTTATGTAAAAAGTTGACTGCACTCATTTATTTGAAAAAATATCGCCATTGTTGCCAATTGCAGTGGCCTCATTATTGTATCTTTCAATATTAACAATGACGACCGGACTACAGTGTTTTAAAAACTAGAAACATTCGTTTCCGGTACAAAATATTAATAATTTTATTTTATTAATTTTTTTTATTTTTTATTTTTATTTTTTGCAAAACTTTTAGTGTATTTTTAAATTAAGGAATGATAATAATATTTTATTCAGTGTAACGTATGCAATAACTCAAAATCTCAGCTGAGTCAATGTATTGATAACCCATTTATTTATCCGAGGCCGTGGTCATCGAAAAAGCCCTGTGGAGTCTCGTCCTAAAATGAATAGCAAATGATTTGAGTAATAAGACGACGAACTTAGTTTGAAACCATAATCTGTTTGTAAGTCATTTAGTAATAACTGAAGTACCGAACAGCGGTATTTAATCTTATTATAGCATTCTGTACAAATTTGAAATTAATATAGATTATGGCAATAGTATGTTAGTTGAACAGTTTTGTCTAAATGTATATTAAATTAAAAATAATACATATACTTACAGTGTTTGTACATAAAAACTTCCAGTGTGATCACATTACAACCATTAAAGACAAGTAATACGAGTATTAAGAAGTAGGAGGGAATAGTGCTACATATACAATATTTTAGTATTTGTATGATCAAATAAGTAATCAGATTATGTAGTGTTTATTGTAAAACAGAAATATGTATGTATACATACATATGTACACAGCACAAACATTTTAAGTATACATTTAGACAAAAAAATAGTTTGAAATCCGTTAATTAGCTATAGAGGCCACATAGAAGCTATACATCAGTGAAAATAAATTCCGTATTTATCAAATTAAAATGCAAATTACAACAACAAGTGTATAGCAGAAAAATACGGTGAAATAGAAACAATAAAAAATAATAATTTAAAAACCAATTAACCAATACAAAAAAAAATGTAAAAATATTAATACACGCTACAGTTAGGATGTAGTATTAGTATACATACACATATATGCCCTTTATGTGGCTTACTTGAATGAAAACCGAGCGTTAATATTTTAAAAATAATTCAATTTTATTTATGATACCACTTTTCTTAAAAGATTTCTGACAAGTTCTCCAATTTTCAAAACAAATAAAACCAATCGTTTATGTATACAACATGATCTGACAACTTATATAATCCTCAATAATTTGGTGCTATATGGTATATGCATAATCAATACAAAACATAGAATATAAATAGAAGCACAGATATCCACCCCTAGTGTGTATTTTTAGCATCACCCCTGTTAAATTTTGTTAATAAAATTCAGGTATCTTATAAAAATTGTCACCATTTAAATATGTTATCAAGCATATCGATTTAGGTAAATTTAATAATTTATCAGGCTGCAACTGCGATCAATTTTCTGTCGTAATTATTTAATTTTAAAGTCAGGCATTTATTGCACCCTATTTTGAGTAAATGTAACAATTACGCTTTTGCGAAGGTATTCAAAAATCATTGTAATCACATGTAAAATTAAAATTTATTTTAAAATTTTTCTCGAAAAACACAATTGCTTATACCCCAAAATTAAAAAATAGAATTTTTAAGTAATATTAATTAATATAGAATTTGTAAAATGGCTTACACTTAATATTTACTTTTATTGGTTAGATGTTCATTACTTTTATTTTCTGCGGCATTGTATTCGCCTTGGTCGCTTATAAATTCGGATTCGTTCCGGATAGATTTTTAACAATATACTAGCTTAATTTGAAACTTTCGTACATCCAATGGCACACAATTAAAATTACGATAAAGGACATGAATGGTGATAAAAATATTTTATATATACATATGCATCATTAAACAGCAGTATATACCAACATATATTTTTATGTTTAAATGTTTTTTTTTTTAACAGTTGAGTGTTGATTTTAAAGAAACCACAATATTTTTCGCATGAATTCAATATAAACATTATTAGTAAATATCAAATCATTCCAGCATTTGAATTCATTTTCCGGTGTTATTTGTACTTTTCTGATATGTTTTAGTTGCAGAATTGTAACTCAAAAGCTTTTTTTTTGTTTATTTAATCAAAAATACAGATAAGCTTTGCTGCTCAGGATGGTCCAGTAATCCGAGAAAAAACTTTACGATCTTAGAAATATCTGTCAACATGTGTCATGTCTAGCATGTAATACTTGAAAATACTTACATTGTCAGAAATTTCTTAGATATTGATATGGCAATTTGACAATTTGCTCATTTATGTCTTATTGTTCACATTTTATTTAAAATTAATAAAAATTACAAAAAAAAAAGTCATTGAAAACACTAGCAAAAGAGTCCGTTCTCTTGACTAAATATGTTTACTCTTACTTTTCCCATAATAAAACCAATTTATTCACTGAGTTTTATGATAACAAGAGTGCACATGTACATTTGCATATCATGAACATACCGATATATGTACTTGTACATGTTTCTTAGCCACTGTTATAAAAAATATCAGTAATAAAAATTTTATTTTGAAATATTCGGTCCGATTTTGTCAAAACCGTTCTTAATCACTTTATTATTTTTACATATATATTACATTTGTGAACAGTACCAAATTTCCCTTATTATTAAACTATTAAATGTAAATTCAAAATAAGATCGGTATTTTATTATTTATAGGGTGTTTCTTACAACATTTTACAGTAGTCCAATGTCTCTTAAAGTGCCCTCAACAGCTTCATCCTAAAGTACACAAAAAACAAAAAAAAAAAACAAAGTAAGAGTGTATAATACCTCTTAATCTATACATAAGCAACTATGATAGATAGCAAAGTTTTAAATTTAGCACAGCATAAAATAATTATAAAGTAATTTGATGTCCGCTTGTCCAGGAAATAAATATTAAATTAAGAATAATAATTAAGGAGTGTATAATTTTAAAAAATAACATAATCTACTGGTGATAAAATTTTGGGATCTACTGCAAAGTCTTCAACGCAAATCTAACATTAACAGGTTTTCTTTATTTAATACTAATATCAATTGAACGTATTACATTTATGTATTAATAAATATATAATTCGGTATACTAATGTATTAAAAATATAAGATTATGTTTCTTTTTATCTCGGTTACTTCGATCGAAACGCCGATGTCATATAATACTTGAGTATTATATTATATTTTTATGTAGAACATACATATATTTTATTTAAATAAAATTATTTTTTGTTCACCGACATACATAACTCACAAATACTTTTTTTATGAATTTAAAAAATTGTAGTATTTAATTTAATATATTAATCTTATTTATCAATTATAAATGTATTCTGTAGATTTGGTGTTGATAACACATGTATACAATATAAACAACAAAAACGATCACACAGTACAACACACATACTTCGGGGAGTGAATGAAGCAAATTTGCTCAGATAAATTATTCTGTAGGTTATTTTTCCCCAAACTATTGGTACGGCGGAAGGTTCCCTATATGGGATAAATTATATTACTAAACGTAAGTTTTCAAATAAACCTCTAATTTGTTTACTTCTATAATTTTTTTCAATTAGATAAGATATGAATTATCTAATTTTTTAAAAATGAACATGTAAAAGAAACATTAACTTCTTCCAAGAAACATATACCGCAAGTAATGAATTTTATTGAATACCATACGAAACATTAACTTCTTCCAAGAAACATATACCGCAAGTAATAAATTTTAATGAATACCATACGTATACTAAACATATTAAAAGTATATGTATAAGTAATATGTGCAAGAAAAAATCTTGATCCTGTACTTATACATATATGTATTATGAAAAAAATAAATAAGATGTAGAAATAAATACATTATTGTCTGGGTAGGTTTAATGTAATAAAACGGTAATTTTAATAAACAACTACTAGCGGTAGCGTTAAAACTAAACAAGTAAACAAACAGTAAATATTACTATTATTAAAGTACAATATATTAATTTACGAATTTAATAAAAAATATTTTATAAATCAATTATATAAACAATATATGTATATACATATTTGGAACTGTTGTAGTGAAAAGGAAAATCCTAAGAAATTAGAGAAAGTTGTCATCGCCATCATATAACGGAAGCTCTGAGTTCAAAGTTATTAGATAAGTTGTCGATTGCATAAGTAGACATTTATTGTATTCCGTATTCATAAAGCAAGATATTGGTCTGACAAGACAATTGTAAGAATAGTTCTCTTAGAAATAGGTTTTGTTTGTTTTTTCGCCTACTAGTTTTCTAAGCGTTTATAAAAGTAAGAGCTCTAGTAGTAGTATGCCTTTTAAACTTATCATGTCGGAACTAGTTATTATTATATCGCGAAGAGAGAGAGCCATACATTAAGCAGACAGGCAAAACTGAAGTAAAGGTCTCGCATATGTCTTGCTACGAACGTAATACTTCAGAGATTAAGCTTTAATGTATAGATCGCATTGTCTGTTACAATACCTGCTGGAATAGTTGTCTCACTCGAGTGTTGGTTGACAACACCATTTACAGTGGTTGGTTAGGAACGTATGTGACGGGTCAGTAGGTCCTAATTATCTTATTCCTGGATGAACTTCTAGAGACCGTTCCGTTGCTCCGTTTAACACTAAAGGTGAATGAGCAGAAATATTTCTCCGAATCTGTCTCGGACTTAATTCCGGTATGGATCAAGAGTTTAAAGAGCAACCACGTTATATATATGTATATTATATTTTTACTTACCGATCTAGAAGGATTAGATCGCTAAAAAAAAAAGCCTGTCATCATAAAATCCGGCACAATTCCGGCAATGTAGAACTGGCTGTCGTCGAATAGACGATTTGGTATTGATATTAATTTATAGTTGTATAATAGTTTAATTTTTATTTATTCGTGTGATCCTTTGTATATATTTATGTACATTATTTATGTAAATTATAAAATGTAAGATTTACAAATTAACAACTCAACTTTAACCAAACCAGTTGCTTTGGTACTTAATGTATTAAACCCAACGAAGGTTAGTATGTTATGTACATAGTAACATTAAAAATTAATGTGCATAAGTAAGTATTTTGTAATAAGTAGAATAAGTATATTAAATCAATTTAAATACTCATTGAAATCCTGTTGTAGTTGCGAATCGATTTCGTCATTTTTGCGGGGTAAGCATAAATTGTAATTGTATAATAATATAAAAAGAGGTTAAAACATTGTTAATAAATTTGTTTAATTTATGTACATAAATTTGACACGAGTTTTTGAAAAATGCATATAGGATACAAACAAGGCATAGAGAAGGCATCGATAATTACATGCAGCATGCAATCGAAATTAAATTAAGCATATACAACAAACACAAAACAAAAACACTTGCGGTCATAATTATTATTAATATGAATAGTACTGTTATTGAAAAATATATTCTGAAGAAGTCATGGATATTTTTAATCTGAAAGGCAGATAAATGAGCAACGCATAACCCATTTTTTGCGAAATAAATAAGTTCTGAGTAAATTACAATGAATTTTTATATTGTCACTCGCTTATACACTCAAAATAAATAATTATTTTTTATTCTTCAACGCTCCGCCATAAATATATAATTAACTATGAATTTTGTCCTAGAAGGCTTTAATGCCAAACAAACATAGACAATGATGAAATTTTACACTTTTACTTTTAATAACAAGTGAATATGGTAATTGTAACACTTAAAAGGTTTTTGCTAAGCAAATAATGGAATTTCGTTTGCATTACTTTTAGGGATTAGGGCATTTATAAATATTTTGTTACAAGAAACATTTAATTCACGCAGACATTTTTAATATTTAAGCATGCATGCATGCAGAACATTACAACGTAAATAAAAAATATAAGTCAATACATACATAAATAAATACAGTTTCTTTAAGTAATATAACAATTTATCTAATAATATATGTATCTGTAATCAACTGATTTATGTAACAATATTAATAACATCAGTAATTAGTTTAATGCATTAAAATTCGAATTATCTTCTAAAATCTTAATTTTGTGAAATAAAAATTTTGAATTTTTTTTATTTTAATTACAATAATTGAAGAAACAAATAATGACATAGTGATAAAGGTAAATTCAGAAAAGATGAAAACTATATAATGTTGCGTATAATGAGGCAACATTTTCATCGAGAAAAGAAAACACTATAAGAATCGCAGAAAAAGTGCACTACAAACAGTAATAGGCTGTATGATTCCAAATGTTTACTTACAGCTCATATGAATTTACCTTTATAGTCGATTATATTTTTTGGAATCGAAGTTTGAAAAGAATTGAAATATTATCTCATTAGAGACCAATGAGTTGCATTTCAGAAGTATGAATGAAGGGACTAAAGCATCCCCTGAAAGTGTGCCGATTTGCAAAGAGATAGCTAACAAAGAAAGCTGCCTATCAGACAAAACATTACCGATTGAATAATGGTATAGAAACAGAATACAAAACGAAATATGTATGTTTGATTATATGCGAGTAAATTTAAAAAATAAATATATTAAATAAAAGAATACAAAGGAAAATGAAAAAGTTATGATAAATATTAATATTGTTACAAATAACGCTGAGTTTGGTCTATAGAATATCTATATTCAGATAATAAATTTTAATGCTAAAAAAAAATGAAAAAGTTATGATAAATATTAATATTGTTACAAATAACGCTGAGTTTGGTCTATAGAATATCTATATTCAGATAATAAATTTTAATGCTAAAAAGTAGAATATAATGCAAAACATATAAATATAGCTATTATAAAAAATATGCCCTCTCTTCTACATTTATTATTAATATTATGTATTTATATCTAAAGTTCTACAAGTCATATGCTTCTGGTGTACTGACCTCTTGTAGTAAATCCTGGGATGCAATTGCTTTGAGCACATTTTTTTTGGAAGTCTCCTGTATTTCTCCACCAATTAACAATTCATCCAAGATAAAGTATGCTTTCTCAAAATTAAAAATTATATCCAATTCGCAAACCTAAATAGAGAATGCTTAGTAAGAAAAATTTCAAATCATACTGAGAATTTTAATTCCGATTTAATTATCTCCCAAAACTACAATGTCATAATATTATAAGTATATTTTTACACTCTAATGTCTTTAAGACACAAATGTAAAAATGTAATATTAATTGTAACGATATTCAACAAACAAGAAAAAACGTTATTCTCGGTTGCACTGAGCTAAAAAACTGATATTCCTGGTAACTGTCTAGCAGGTCAACTAGCCAGAGCAGACACCACCCTACAATTAGACTCAGGAAAAGTAGGAATTCATATGCCAAAAGACAAACATGTTATAAAAATAGCTGAATCTCGGTGGAGTCAACCCCTAACTTGCTAAACAAGCAGGCAAACGTGGCATGAATGGAATATGGGTAACACATGCCGTCCATTAAAATTCAAAAGCAATGACATAAAAACTCTAGTAAGATTACTAATAGTTCACTCTCTAATTGGCAGGCATGCCCCATACAATGACTATTGTAGAAGCTATCAGGAGTTAGAAGAATAGGAGACTATAAAACATCTTCTATGCGAAAGGAAATCTTTTTTAGGAATATAATCGCAAATATCGATCGAGGGTTTCTGGAAGATGTTTCGAAGGATGCACAGACAGACGAACATGGCTAAATCGACACAGCTTGTCATACTGATTATTATACATATGCATATTTTATAGAGTTTCCGACGTTCACTTTTGGGTGTTACAAACTTCGTGGCAAATTTAATATACCCTGTTCAGGGTATAAAAATAAAGAAATTGGCATCAGATTTGTAGCGATGGTTAAATTTCCTACTCTATACAGACAAATAATTGATTTCATTATAATTCAGATACTTACACTTCCAAAATATTTATCCAATAATTCGACATAACGATGAATAATTTCGAGAGTTAACAATTCATTATCATTCTGCTCAATAGCACAACAAAAATATAAACTCGCATATCTAAAATAAATTAGAAAAAATATTACTGATTATAATATATAAGCTGTACAAATACTTTTTAACAAAACTGTGTTTAGTTGCTTCATTCATCTTAAGATTTGTAACATAGAATAAACTTAATTATATTTAAACGCTGCTCATACCAAATTTAGAGCCGAACTTTTCTTTTTAGTATAACGCTAATAAATATAGCATGTGATAAATAAACAACTTTTAGAGTTATTGAAATGTTCGCTGAATTTAATTATTTAAGTTATAAATAATGAAGTTATAATTAATGAGTATACCTTAATTATTTATCCGATAGTAACTATAATCCAATATTTGATCTAATGCCCTGAAAGCCAATTCTAGGTCAAATCATACGTTACCAGAGAGCCCTAAGAGATTATTTTTTACAGTTTCTTAACGCCGAATTGACAAAGCTATCTGTATTTCTTATACACGTTTTTTCGCTAATCCCTTTCTTACGCATAAATTCATTTATGCTATTGCCTACATGTGTAAGAAAGGGATGAACGAAAAACTTGCATAAGAGATTCAGGTAGCTTTGTTTCCAAGATAATTTTTTCAATGTATTGAAGTGTCAGCTGGTCGTGTCTCGCCTGGTACTGCTACTACTCCTCTTTTTGTTAGCAAAAAATTGCTACTCCCAATGTATTAAGTCACCACTGCTCTTTCGTCGGAACCGATATCAGTCAACGATAGGATATACATAGGTGCCAGAAAAACTGATCGATCAAAGTCAAACCTTGCATGAAAAACAATTTTATTTAATGAGATATCTTCACGAAATTCGGCACGGATTATTTTCCAAAGCAACACTAGAATCGGTTATTGTTCAAATCTGCTATAGCATATGCTGCCATTCAAAGTGACACATCAAAATCTTGATACATAATTTTTTTTATTATTAACCTTAATTCGACTTACATGTTGTTTATATCAAACAACCGTTGGCCGATTATGTTTTCGGATGTGGTTATTCATATACAGCTGTTGACAGGTAATTAAAATCTATTTTGAAGTAAATGATGTTATTTTCCAATAAATCACGTATTTTTATATATTTTACTTATATAGGGCACAATAGACCATAGGTCGCGGTGCATACCTCAAACCTAATCTAACACGCTTATATTAACTTGCGATGTATGTATGTAATGGAATCTTAGAGCTCAATTTTCAACCACTCCCACTCCCCATATAACGGTTATGTTGAAAACTACTGAAAATGCAATAACTCATTAAATAAGGGAAGAGCTTTGTGGGAAGAGCTGTAAAATTTTAAAATGGGTGTGGCATCCAACCTTTAGGTTAAATTCTATATCTCAGGAACTATCGAACTAATTTCGACCAAATTTGGTATGTAAGGTTACCCAACCATTCCTATCACATTGTGAAAATAGACGAAATCGTACAACGACTATAAAACTATGCAGCTAAAAGGTATCCAAATACAAGCATGTACTATCCAAAAATGCCCCTAAAGCTATGCAGTTAAAAGCATCAGCGATCCATGCTATCAATTGAATAACAAATTTACTCAAAGGCATCCTTGAAAAAAGTGAAAAACTACGTGTGGCCAAATACGCAATACGCTTTTAAACCACTTTAAACTAATATATTCCTGATATAAACTGACAGAAATATTGACCGACAAATATTTGTATTATGCGTGTTTATTAGTTTTTAAAACTATATTTATTGTTATTTCACTCATTTTATTGAAACATGTGATAAACTTAAACTTTAATAGCAAAAATTTAATTTAAAATTCGTTTTTGTTACAAAGGGTTATACCAAAACATGTGGAATCAACGATTTGAGTGCCTCAACTGATTAGAAACGGAAAAATTTTATCAGCAAAATATAATAGTACTATAAAAATTGGCTTACTTTCAGTTAGTATTTTGTTGCATAACCCTTTTGCTTTAATACTGCTTCAGATCGATTGCGCATTGATGTTATAAGACTTTGACAGCGTACCACTTGTATTGTTTGCCTTGCCGTCCTAACTTCATCAAAAAGGACATATTTGGGATATTTTTGGTACCGGCGGCTCTTTTAATATCACCCCAGAGATGTTTTATAGGATTCAAGTCTGATTCATTGATAGAATTTTCATCAAAATTCTTTTTTGCCAAATTTGCCGTGTGATTTTGATCTTTATCTTGTTGGAATTTCCATATAACAGGCAAATTTCCTCAGCCCACGGCAACATGACATTTTTTAGGATGTCAACGTATTTCTCCTTATATTGAATTCCTTAAATCCTATAGAATGGACCAACACCATTCCAGGAAAATCATCCTCACATCATTATTGATTCTCCACCATGCTTCATACTTCCATTGATTTGTAGTCCAAGACCAATGAGAGTTGGCGAAGTCTACGCGTGGTTCCTTTGAATTTTAGTCAGACTTTTTTTTTTGCGTGCTACCCTGCCGTGAAGTTCAGATTCGACTCGTCTTGAATTTCACGTAGAATGTCAGTAGACAAATTCTTTGGGTCTCTTCGGGAGATGGTAGTGATTCTGCGGTTTATTTCTGTTGAAGTTTTCCGGTTTTAAAATTCTGTATATGCCTTATGGCATTGGAAACCATTTTTTTTTTAGCATTTGACCTGATTTGCAATTTTTTTGTATGTCTTTCCAGCCTGACGAAGGACAGATATGGAGCTGCGTAGGCCAGGTTTACAGCTGCTGCTTTTTTACCAGCGTATGGAATTATGGTACTTTAAACAACTGTTTCTAATTAGGTGTCGCACTCTATTTACCTTCTATAACGTAACGCATGTACTATGGGAAAAAAATTAACAATACTTCTACTGCACAACTACAAAACTGAGCGAATTTAGTAGTAAACCGTAAAAAGGGAACGTTTCTAATTAGCTGTAACTAGCTGCAGTTCCTATCTATCACACTTCGGCTTTCGATGGTTCCCCCTACTTAAAAAAAAAAAAAAACTCCTTAACAAATTAAATTATTTTGCCTTTGGTTTTCAATGATATAGATAAAGATTTTCGAACTTCCGCAATAAATATAGTAATAAAACTAAGTGAGTATATGACCTATATTGCAATATAACTTAATAAAATAACAAATTTGATTGTAATCCATTTACAATTTCATCGAGCAATGAATGTTAAATTGTTTTACAACATTTTTTAATATAAAGTTTTCCTACACCTGAAGGTATTTTCCCTTCCTTGATCTTTGCAAGTTGCAAGACTAAAAAATGTTCGGTTACACCCGAGCTTAGCTCTTAATTACTTGTTTAATACTTAATATAAAGTTTTGCAACACTGGAAAGTATTTGATCTTTTCAAATTACGAGAGTAAAATATGTTCGGTTACAGCCGAACTTAGCTCTTCCTTATTTGATGTTTTTCGGCACAAAGACCCTTAAATTTTTCAAATGTATGAAAGATATAAATTTTGCAACTTTTAGGTGGTCAGTCTGAAGGAGCAGTATTGTGGTAAAAATGAGGACTGCGGCGAAGAGGACTTACCCCTCAAAGAACCAAACCTGTTACCCCCAGAGCCCTCATAAAAGTTGACCAGGTGACTACGCTGTTATCGCGAGTAGGTTCCTTTCGGATAACCTGGGCATCCTATTGGTCCAGAACCCGTTGACGTATAGAGGAAAGGTCAATACAAGGACAAAGAAGGTAATCTGGGATCTCTCCAGTGAGAGAATCCGGTTGTTCCGCTTCAAGCAGATGACTGCAGGTGTGGTTTCTGCGAAAACATATCAGCAGAAACTGCTTGGAGTGGAGCTCGTTATGTTCCTTAACCGGAAGCATACGGGCATCGCTGTACATGTGTTCGACTGGAGACATGCCTGAAGCTTCTTCGTCTGATTTGTACTACATTCAGGCGACCATATTTGCTGCCATCAAGTGCCTTGAGGGTTTTGTTGCGGCTCTGTACTTTGGTAGTTATCGCGGTCGTGTGAGGGGTGAAGGAGCACAGGCTGTCAAAAGTTACACCTAATATCTTAGGGTTATTGACCGTCGGAATTGTGATGCCGTCGACTGTAATGTTTAGGTCCAGAGTGTATTCCTTCGTCCAGTTAGGGAAAATGGTCGCTGTAGATTTAGTGGGAGAGTATTAAGCTTCTTGCAGAGAAAATGCCAGAAAGGTCGGAGAGATAGCTGTTTTGAGCACATGCCATCGATTCCATTGCCCGAAGTTAATATCTTGCAATCATCAGCGTACAAGGTGATGGAAATTCGCAGTAACGGTAAGAGGACATCGTCAGCAGTAGCAAGGCCTCAAGTGTCTTCACTATTGGGGAACCGCTTTTGTTAGCGGATTTCCCAAATTTCAGTAGTGGGTTTTTCACACAACGGGTATTTGAAGAGTGGTCAGCGACAGGTTGAACACCTTGATTAGGAAGCTTACTCCCGTCGAGCCTAGATGCTTTAGCATCAGCATTTAATTCTTATCAGACCCAATGGATTTGGATGATTTCTTATCGGTGAAAGTAAGTGACGCGCGGTCTTTTGGCATTTTGTGCAGCCGTCGGGTAGAATAGGGAATGAGGTATGCACCGCGATCTAGGGTCTATTGTGCCCTCCCCTAAGTCACAACGACTCACTTAGCCCCAGCACATGGATGAATTCCAATATACTGCTAGATGCTAATGAGGCGATATGATCCCTATTTGGAAACATGGATTAAGGGCCGTCGGGTAACACATCGTTTGGTCTTGTCTGTCGAAGGGCGTAATGTGAATTGCCGGATAAAAGAGCTTGCGCACTTCTTGGCATTGGTTTCCTTCTTAAAATATAAGTCACTAGGGGCGGATGGCATCTTTCCCGCACTTCTGCATCAAGGAGGGCAAGCTGTATTGCTACACCTTGTTGGGCTGATAAGAGACAACCTTGGGATGGCGTATAACTCAGAACCGTGGAGAAGGGTAATCTTCATACCTAAGGTAGGAATGAAAGACTATTCATTAGCTAAACCCTTCGGACCTATTGAGACATCATGCTGAAAGGAATGGAAAAGATTATAGACAACGATATAAGATCGAAGGCGTTGAAGATCGTACGCAAATCATCACGCGTACAAAACAGGTAGGTCTACTTACACCGCTCTGTACCAACTTTCGGCTGAAATCCAGAATCCTCTGCAAAATTGTGAGGAGGCGATGTGGCCTTCTTTGACATCGAAGGTGTTTTTTGACAATACGTTTCACGCATAGTAAATTGAGCTGCTTACAAGCAATGGGATTCGGTGTCAGGGGCATGCCAACAACGTTGTTATAATGGCAAGAGACAAATTTGTGAATACCCTCTGCGATATAGTTCAATGGAGCTTAAGCCTAGCAAAGGGATGGTGCAATACCCATTGGGTTAGATATTAATCCGTTAAAAATAACCATCACCCCTTTTACAAAAATATGATCTCTTCCTGGCTTGTGAACACTAACACTTGGTGGAGGGAGTTAGAGATGTCTAAGGAGGTCAAATACCTATACCTCACATCAAACTCCACCTTACGGTGGAATAGGCATGTAGAAATAACACTGTCTAAATCTACAATCTACAAATGCACTCATGGTATGCAGACACCTCGGCGGTATATCCTGGGGTTGTAAACCAAGTATCATCAGTATATCATGATCGTGAAACCTATTGTTACTGTGTTTGCTTGGCATCGAAGGCATCGCAGACTTCGATAGAACTTCAACTATCGAAGTTGCAAAGACTTGCCTGCGTCTGCGCCTCTGGGGCAATGCGCACTTGACCAACCGCAGCCCTTGAAGCGACAGCGAAGTATACCTACTTATGGCAGCAGAAGGGTATGGACAAGTTAAGATAATTTCGTCTCAACAAATTAAGGTCCTAGGTGAGGCTACACCACTGATCCTCTTTGCAAGAGACGCCTTTACAAAAAGGGTAAAATTCACAAAGAAGTTTAAAGTTGCTCTCAGCTGTAAGGCTGACTGGAGTGATTCCACTATCGACCTACAACTGAGGGGCAACACTGACGGCTACTACTAACTTTCTATACCCATAGTATGTTTTAAGAAATTAATTTCCAACGCAACTACCATAACCTGCGTATCACCATAATCAACAATAGTCAAGCGGCCGGCTTTCAACTTGTTTTTTTTTAGCTATATAAAACAAACACATGAAGTTTGGATTAACCGAGTTTACACCCTTTTGTTGCTTCTCTTTTCAGACCAGTCCGTCTACGCAGTGCCCTTCGTTTTTCCTGGTCGCACCTTGCCAGCAACTTACGAGTTTGGACAATAAAAATCTATGTCTATAAAATCGAAATTAGCCTATTATTGAAATAATGTAATGTCCGTTCATATTATTCCAGGGAACGGAGCGTTTAACTTGTATATAATTAAAGCCCATTTTTAATACCAGATTATATAAATGTATGTAATGCAATAGAATTTCTTTTTGCGTCAAACTACTGTGTAAAATACTACTATTTTCTATTATTACCGCTTATAAACGATTTTGCAATCTTTCCACTCTAGGAAAGAGCACATCTTGGGTTTGCGAGCAAGGATCGTAGTTACCAATTCCCTAGTTATTTTCTTCTTTACTTTGTCTGGATAAGCCATGTACCATTTCTGCAATCGTAGTTTTCCTTGACGACTGAACAATAACATAAAAAGCATCTGCAATGTAATGTGAAACAAAGATAATTATTTAGTAAAATTCATATGAATTGTACTCACCATACTTGAAGAATCTAAGAAAGCCTATCTTAATATTGGAATAACAAGTATAAAATATATTTATACTGTTTCACCTATTTATCTGAATATTTGTTGGAAAATTGTAATCCTCAACACAAGTGGCCAACTTATAACTTGTGATGCATAATTTCAATCAGAACCCATTTGATACTCGATACTTTAAATATTACACTCGATACTTTTTTGTTAGGTATGTCGTGTAGGTTTATGCTTCAGTTAGTGACCGACGCAAAATCGTAGACCGAATTAGCTGATATGACTTATCTTATTAAAGCGCAATATAAATAAATACTCACCACCGCGTCTATCGTCCGCTTTGACCAGAGATAAAGAGATGCCCAAATTTCTCATTGGAAATTAGAGAGCAACTTACCTACCCGACTTTCACAGTTGAGTGGATCGCCGGCTCGAAAACGGCGGAGGGGATTGGTGCAGAGGTCGCAGGACCACGCACCAAGCTCTCCATTCCCATGGGAAGTTTCCTTTATATAATTTTTCATAATGTACTCGTAAAAGATCAAATCTAAAATCCAACTATTTAAAATAGTCTATCTATTTATAAATAATTGTATTCGACTATAATTTAATTTAAGAGTATTTATATATATAACCGCGGGAAACGTATAGTTTTCGCGATATTTACGTTTAAAGTTGAAAATTTGAACTATTTAAATTACGTATATTTTCGATTTAAAATGAATTATACACTTATATTTTTCACTTTTATATCCACTAACACTTCACTAATTCGTTTTTAGACATTTATTTTATATTTTATCATGCAAAAATAGCTTTATTTCTATATTTAAAATATTCTTTAATTCTATTAATTTCGACAATAACAAGAGGGTTGTAAATGTCATATAACTAGTGTTGCCATTCTAATATATTTCGCTTATAATTTGTTTGTGGTGAAATCCTCTAATGTTTTCGAGTCAGAGAACTTAGAAGAATTAACCAATTACGTTCTCTGGTCGAGTAACCCTTTGTCAAGCGGATCATTATGCGAGACTCTTTGAATCAAGAGAGCTGTCAAAACCCACATTTTTTATAACATCTGCCAATCATGTCACTGTCGAAAGAAAATGGATTGGGTATTATAAAAAAAACTTTTGGGTATTTTGCATTTCGATATTATTTTTAGGTGCTCCGTCCCCGAGTAGGCCTATATAACGCTTATACATCCCTAAATACGTGTATTTATATTATCAAATTTTTAAAAAATCATATAACATAAAAAAATAGCATATAAATAAACAATATGATAACAAAGAAACAATACAAGTCATAATAAAATATCATGGTTTTATGATGAACGTTTTAAATTAAATTAGCAAATAAAATTTAGTTGCACGTTATTCAAAGGTATTTGTGTCGTTCCTTGAAATTTCGTTTCGCACTGCTTTTGTTAGCTATTTTTAGCGGGTTTATTTCTGACATCCCGCTTTTTTTGACATCAGCTGTTCGAAATTCCCTCATTTGAATAATCATTTTAATAATCAGGGAAAGAGAATAACAGAAAAATCAGCGAACATGAGAGAGTCTCGCATCATGCCATCCTTGCCATTATAACAAGCATGAACCTTCTCTATAATATACTGTAACGAACACGGATTATAGAACAAAATCGAATCGGCGATAAATTGCCAGAAGCAACTAGTTAGCGAATTCGTAGTTGCCAATGTTTTGTTAAAGAGTAAATAACTAAATAAATAAGGGCTGCCGTATTGTGGGGCAGGCACAGTTCTAATTAGAGTGTTGCTGTGTAAAGAGCTATTAAGCTATAAGCAATAAGTTGTAACTCGAAGTGTATATCTTTAAATTGGGACTTTAGTTTAACAATCCAGTGATCGAACTTAAGAGTGGGTTACAAGGTAGACGATTCTCGAGAAATCCGTTACAATACGTTCTCTGAGAAAACCATGTACTCGTATACAAATTGAGCAATGGCAACAGTGATAATACTTGTAAAAGGCAAAAAAATGTATATGGAGTTGACAGTACCAATTGCATACATGGATAAATCTATGATTGCATATGCAGACGTACTGTTAGTGGGAATCCACGATATTGTGGTGCTATTTCATAAAATCGGAAATTTAATATTATTAGAACGTTGATATTATTTTGTGGAAAAATTAAAATGGCAATTAAGTTAACAGCGAACATAAATAATCCTCCTATAAGTAAGTTTATGGATTTTTGATGGTCTCATTTTAGGTTAATAATATATGTATATATTTTTTTTTTTCTTCATCGAAATCGCGTTTATATTGTTTAAATTTTCTTTTTTTTTTATAATTGCAAGGCGGTTTGGCAACTGCTCATCTTATAAGCGAGACTATAGAAGTTGAAGTTGCATGGGGTAATGAAACTTCGCTCCAATTTCCTGACAAGCGCCAGCTTCTTTGTCATTCCAATAATGATGTGTTGAGGGCGCTGGCACGTGTGGCTCCAGAGTATAAGCTTTATGGAGAAAATGCTATTGAACGTACCCAAATAGATCATTGGTTGTCGTTTTCATTAACATGCGAAGATGACATATTCTGGGCATTGTCGTTTCTTGATAAATCAATTGCCCCTGTAACCTATCTAGTAGCGAACAAGCTAACTATTGCTGATTTTGCTCTTTTCAACGAGATGCATGCTCGTTATGAGTTTCTTTCAACTAAAGGCATACCACAACATGTACAACGCTGGTACAACCTTATAAATTCGCAACCTCTTATTCAAAAAGTTTTAGAGGCATTGCCAGAAGAAGCCCTTGGTGCAGCCAAAAGATCCAAAAGAAGTAATGGTGTTAAACTAAGTGAAAGCGAAAGTTCACATTTTTCTGGTAAAACAAAAGCAAGTGAACGTAAGCAGGAAGGAAAATTTATAGATCTACCCGGTGCTGAAATGGGTAAAGTTGTAGTACGATTTCCTCCAGAAGCGTCTGGATATTTGCACATTGGACATGCTAAAGCTGCCCTATTAAATCAGTACTATGCATTAAACTTTAATGGCAAACTAATAATGCGATTCGACGACACTAATCCAGCGAAAGAAACTGTTGAGTTTGAAGAAGTTATTTTGGGCGATGTCGAATTGTTACAGATTAAACCTGATGTTTTTACCCACACATCCAATTACTTCGAAATTATGTTACAATATTGCGAACAAATGATTAAAGATGGCAAGGCATATGTAGATGACACTCCGGCGGACAAAATGAAAGTTGAACGCGAACAACGTTTGGAATCAGTAAACAGGTCAAATGGTAATATAATTAATATATGGTTTATTCGGATTTTACACCATAATTTCTCTTAATTCAAGATGTGGAAAGAAATCTATCATTGTGGCTGGAAATGGTGAACGGCACAGATATAGGCCAAAAATGCTGCGTTCGGGCAAAAATTGATATGTCTTCAGCAAATGGCTGCATGCGTGATCCAACTATATACCGTTGCAAGAATGAGCCTCACCCACGTACAGGCACAAAATACAAGTAATTATTGTTTTTTAATATTTAAATGGACCGTAATTGATAAACTTATGGAATTTTTAAGGGTCTATCCAACTTACGATTTTGCTTGTCCGATTGTTGATTCAATAGAAGGGGTTACGCACACGTTACGTACAATGGAATACCATGATCGTGATGATCAATTCTATTGGTTCATTGATGCGCTTAAGTTGCGAAAACCGTACATATGGGAATACAGTCGGTTAAATATGACAAACACTGTGCTATCTAAACGTAAGCTGACATGGTTCGTTGAGTCTAGATTAGTGGATGGATGGTAATATGAATAATTATATAATAATTCAATATTTTGGCAACAAGCAATATCATATTCTTCATAGGGATGATCCACGTTTTCCGACAGTTCGGGGAATTATTCGTCGAGGCATGACTGTTGAGGGTTTACGCGAATTTATTATAGCTCAAGGATCAAGTAAATCTGTAGTATTTATGAATTGGGATAAAATTTGGGCATTTAATAAGAAAGTGATCGATCCAATTGCACCTCGTTACACTGCACTCAACTACGAAAATCGTGTTATTGTAAATGTTTTAGATGCAAAGGTAGAAAAGATTGAGGTACCTAAACATCCAAAAAATGAAAGTCTTGGAATGAAAGAAATAACCATTGGCCCACGTGTATATATTGATTATGATGATGCGATTGCCCTAAAGGAGGGGGAAAATGCCACCTTTATAAATTGGGGCAACTTGTTAATAAAAAAAATACATAAAGATAACAGCAGTAAAATATTGAAAATAGATGCGACTTTGAATTTGGATAATAAGGACTTTAAAAAGACATTAAAGCTTACTTGGCTTGCTGTGGAAAATGATAATTCCATTTATCCGCCCACATTCTGTGTCTACTTTGACAATATTATAAGTAAAGCAGTATTGGGGAAAGATGAAGACATTAAACAATACATTGGTCACAAAACTAGGGTAAATTTTTCTATATTCTTTAACAACTGATATACAATAGTAATATTTTTTTATATTTTGTTAGGAGGAAATAAAAATGCTTGGTGATCCCGAACTAATGAAATGCAAGAAAGGAGACATAATCCAGCTTCAACGTCGAGGTTTCTTTAAAGTTGATGTTGCTTATGCGCCAGCCAGTCCATTCTCGAATGTTGTAACGCCGGTCATTCTGTTCTCAATACCTGATGGCCACACTAAAGATATGCCTTCGTCAGGTTTGAAAATAAACGCCAATTTACATGATGCGAAAAATGTAAGTAAGATTATAGTTTAATCTGTATGTTTCAAATTAATATTTTTTCTAGTAGAAATTGAAAAATTTGTGCATCTGGTATATATAGTTTTTGTGATATTTCTCCTAATTTATGTATATATAGATGCATAAGGTCTCGTAAAAAGAAAACCATTATTTTTCTAGTAGATGACTTTAGTAATCTGTATCTCGCGTTGTATGAATGCGGTCGGATTACGCTATATGATGTTAAAAAGATAAGATGTCTAAACTTCTTAGACAGTTTTGTGATTGTTAGAGCACGCGTCAAAGTTTAACATCAGCGAGCCTGGCGTCTCAAAATGTGAGAGTCTATTCCGTACCTGTAATTTTGATGGCAATTGTAGAAATATCAATACATAATTTAATGGAAATCGACGAGTCCGACCGTCAATTAAACTGTTTAGATTGCCTAATACTAATTTCGAAGCTAAAAATTGTAAAAAACACCGTTTGAAACTATTTAAATATATTGTTGGTACAAAGAAAAGCTGGAACAAGAGCTAAGTTTGAGTGTAACCGAAAATATTATGGTGTACTCTTGCAATTTCCAAAAAATAAAAGGCGGGAAAACACTTTCAGGTGTTCCATACTTAACTTGGAGGTCGAAAACTCGCTAAGTTTTATTACCATATTTTTCTTCGTGTGTGAGATATTTATAAAGGGGTTTTTTAGACATATGCTTTTGAAGAAAAAATAAAACGCATATAATTTAATGTATAGTATGCTTAGGATTTTGCTTTATTATAAACATAAGGGCTTGTCATTATGTTTTAAAATGATTTCGGGCAAGTGCCGGCGCGGTTAAGACTAACGCTCCCAATATTTTCTTCCAATCGTCTCGGGCTTATCTGACAAACTAGACTAGACAAACAGCTTCACATATCCCGCCCTAGGCCCACGATACGAGATAATACACTCTCCAAAAGTTTCCTTCAATAAATTGATTGTTGTGTGTAGTGATTAAACAATAGTGGCGAGAGGACACCACCCTGCGGAACCCCCTTGTATAATTCCTTAATTTTTTCCTTTACATCCAAAAATAATACCGATGATTGTCGGCCCTCTTCAGTTCTAGAGGAAGCGCAGTTTATTTAATGTCCTCAGGTAGCGTTGTATGGTTGACTATGTCAAAAGCTTTTGACAAGTCCAACGCTGCAAGGACAGTCCTCTCCTCTGGTGGTGCTGTGCACTTTACGGAAACTGTGCTGGTGTTGAGCAGGGCTCAAATGGGGAAGGGAAAGTTAGCGGGCGATAAGATTTCACTAGGTTACTCACGTCGAACACTTCTTCGGGTCCGAGAATGCACGACCGTCGAATTGAACTTCGACAAGGTTATCGTTGTGTCTCCTCGGATTGGTCATGGATTTGACAGTATTCCAAAGTACAAAGCACAGTATTCTTACTCACTGTTGCCGGAGAGATTGCATGACTTCATACTCCACCCATTTCATCCGCGTATGTTGATCTACCAATTGTCGAATCTCCAAATTAAAATCATTTAGACCGGAATCACAGGGATCAACCTGGCGTAAGGAGTCACGCTCATTTGCTAAGCAGTCTTAACTTTGGCTGGGAAATTAAATCGTAGTTGTTGAATTCTACCACCGGTAACGAAACGAGCAGTAACATCAGCGATCACCTTGCGGAATTGACGTTCGCCAACGAATACTTCCGTAGGAATGGGTAGTGTGGCAGAGGTGCAAGAAGTGAAGTGAATTCTGTGAAGCCGACGCAGTTTGCTTTATTAGGTGCGATTATCCGCTGTTTATCAGGTGTCCATATTTCTGGTGGGAGCTTCGTCATTAATTGTGCAGAATTTCGAGTCATCTATTTGTTCTGCCAGCTCCATCCCCCTACGATCGTTTGACAGCCAGGAGTGCTAAAGGTATGGTACACGTTAAAGTCGCCAAGTACCAACCCTGTTGGGCAACAAGTAACTGGCGCTCTACAAGGGCGGTTGTCACACTTGGGTGTGGTTTGTCGACGCCAAATTACACCAGCCAGTGCAAGAATTGCATCTAACTTATGATTGTTCCAACGTATTACGGTCTGACATATGGAATTGACGGTGCGAGGATATACGGAATTGACGGTACCAGAAGTTGACTTGTGGCCCTTGCACGGGAATTGTAGCGGGATGAAGGTTAGTTCGAGTAGATCAGACTGAGAGTCATGCTGCCAGCTGAACTCCGTAAACAGGGTTAGATCCTCGAAATAACAGCGCTTGGCCGGATAACATCCGGGTAAATTCCGGTACTGTAGAATCGGGTGTCTACGCGATGGCGAATGGACCCATTGGGGTACACTTCGATACTCTGCTCCTCACAAAAATAGGATCAATTGTAGAGAATTAATTCATTAAAATTTTTAAAGTTTTTGCCAACATAAACAGTTTATAGTCAAGTGAAAAGTCGGAAATCACTATTTTGGGATTAGGAGAAGGCTTAGACTGATAGCTTTAACTTTTGTCATTATTAAAGTATACTTGAGAACATGTTTCCACGGAATTTTATGATATGCATAAAGTCTGATAAAATAACGTAAATCATTATGTGTAGTATACGGCAGCTCAGTTATTTGTGGAGCGATTTCACATATTTTTTCCATTAAACTATAGTTTATTCAAGCTTTATGCTAAGATATCTTGCTTATTAACCGATATATACGCTATAAAGATAACCGGAAGTTTGGATTTTTTATAGGAGGCTAGGGGAAGTATTCGGCCGATTTATGTCAGGGTTGGGAAAAAAATGTTGGATTTAAAATAAAAAATTTAATTTTTATTTAATCCCGATTAATTAATTAAGTAAAAACTAAATATTAATATTTAAATATTGAATATTTTTTAACCGGTATGCAGGGTTAAACAACTTGTTTCTTTTTGTCCCATATTCGGGTTTTTGGGATTAAAACAATTTTTTTTTTCCGGTATGTTGGACTAAAATTTTATTTTTTTAATCCGGTGTGTGGTATTAAATTTTTGTTTTACACCCGGTATGCAGGGTAAAATATTTCAATAATGGACCTTACAGATTGACCGATATTTTCGGTAAAAGTCAACCACATTCACTGTGGCCTTAATAATTGGTATCTAGAGGCTTGAGAAGGTATAGTCCGATTACGACAAGTTTTAGACATGATATAACATACCTTAAAAGCATTATTTGTGGAAAGTTTTATTTCGATAACGTCATTGGGTTTCAATTAATATACTGCAAAGGGAAAGAATCTTAAGGAATTTAACTTAATGATATACATATATATATATATATGGAAGGTAGAATTGGTAGTAGTCTGATTTATCCAATTTTGACACGATGACAAGAATACAAACATTCTTTATTCGACGAAATCGTGAATGAATCAAATCTGGTAATCAAATTTAGTAAGTTATTAAGTTGTATATAGGTCTCAGACTCAATTTGTTTTATATCTATATTTTGCTTCTCGTCAACGAAAATTATATTAAAATCCTCCTCAAATGAGATATATCTAACATAAACTTAACCGAAGATGCTAAATTCAATATATTGAGTTAATGTACAAAACGACAGGCAGAAGATCGGAATTGATGATAGAACCAGATGCTCTCTGAATCTCATAAAGGTGCCTCACATACCAACACCAATATATTATATAAGGAGTAAAGTCAACCGGACGTTTGAAAATTCTGATATTAGCTAGGCTAGGCGCTATAGGGAGAAGGGTGTTAGATGAGTGGGGTTTGTTGGGCATGCAAAGAGGTGGTTAGTGTCATGCGGAGACTCATTGCACGCAGGACATGTGTTTGGTATGTCGGGGTCTATTCTGGATAAGTAGGAGTTTAACCTGCTACAGTATCCAGAACGAAGTTGCGCGAGAGTCACTCTGGTTTCACGAGGCAGCTCGAGCTCTACGTCTGCTATGGGTGGTGGTTTGACTTGTAATACGCCATACACTGAGAGGGAGTTGGTGAAGGTGTTGATGGCTCCACTGTGAATGGCGGTCAGTGCCTGTCTGAAGTTCGTAGCGTCCGAAGTCCGGTCGGTGTACTGCCCAATGTCGTCGACGTAATCAAGGAAAGACCTCTTGATGTTCCTAGGAGGCGGCTCCGCTACAAACAGGCGACTACAGGGGTGGTTTCTACGAAAACACCCCAGCAGAAACTGCTTGAAGAGGAGTTCGTTGTGTTCCTTAACCGAAAGCATACGGGCCTCACTATGTAGCTGTTCGATTGGAGACATCAAGAGGCATCCCGTGATAGTCCGGAGTGCAGTGTTCTGACAGGTCTGAAGATTCTTCTTCTGCGTGTCACTGCATCCAGGCGACCATATTGGGGCTGCATAATTTAGGACCGGCCGGCCGATTGCCTGTTATGTTGCCAGCAACGTTTCTTTGTCTTTTCCCCAAGAGCTGCCGGCAAGCGACTTGAGGATTTTGTTGCGGCTCTGTACTTTGGCAGTTATCGCGGTCGTGTGAGGAGTGAAAGAGCACAGACTGTCCAATGTGACGCCTAAAATTTTAGGGTTATTTATTGTCGGAATTTTTGTGCCATCGACTGAAATGTTCAGGTCCAGTCTGTACTCCTTCGTCCAATTTTTGAATATGGTCGCTGTGGATTTAGTGGGGGAGAGTGTTAGGCTGCTTGCAGAAAAGAAGCGAGAAAGATCGTAGAGGTAGCTGTTTACTTTTGAACACATGCCATCGATTCCATTGCCCGACGTCAATATCGTACAGTCATCAGCGTACGAGGTCACTGAAATTCCCGCTGGTGGCTGGGGGAGTTACGAAATATAGAAATTAAACAGTAGTGGGGAGAGGACACCGCCCTGCGGAACCCCCTGTTTAATTTTCCTAAGTTTGGGGTTTTGACCTCGAAACAGTACGGATGAATGCCGACCGTTCAGGTAGTTCATAGTCCACCGCTTCAGCCCTGGAGGGAGCGTTGATTGTTCTAGGTCCTCAAGTAGCGTTGTGTGATTGACTGTGTCAAAAGCTTTTGACAAGTCCAGTGAACTATCTGGGCGTTTATGACGCTAAGTGCTGTGGTGGTACTGTGCACTTTTCGGAAGCCATGCTGATGATCTGCTAGACTCAGGTGGTGAGTGAATGACGGGAGTAACAAGGCCTCAAGTGTCTTCACTACTGGGAAAAGGAGAGTTATCGGGCGATAAGACTCCCCTTTGTTGGCGGGTTTCCCAGGTTTCAGTACTGGGACCACTCTGTCTATTCTCTGTCTATTTGAAGAGTGGATATCGACAAGTTGAGGACCTTGGTGAGATAGTTTACTCCCGTTGGGCCTAGGTGTTTTAGCATCAGCATGCTTATTCCGTCAGGGCCGATGGATTTAGACGATTTCGCCTTTTTGATGACACTCTGAACCTCCCCATCGGTGAAAGTAAGTGGTGCGCAGTCTTTTGACATTTTGCGCAGCCGTCGGGTAACACATCGTTTGGCCTTGTCGGTCGAAGGGTGCAGTGTAAACTGCCGGCTAAAATAGCTCGCAAAAAGCGATCACCTTGCGGAATTGACGCTCGCCAACGATGACGTCCGTAGGAATGGGTAGTGCGTTGAAGGTGTTCTCAGTAAATTCTGTGAAGCCGACCCAGTTAGCTTTGTTAAAGTTAATGAAGGTGCGGTTGTCCACAGAAATAAAGTCGGGAGGTTTCTCGATCGAGATAATTATGGGCAGATGGTCTGATGCGAGAGTTAGCATAGGTCGCCAGATTATGCTATTTATCAGACCACCGCTAGCGATGGTAATATCGGGCGAGCTATTACAGGTGCCCATAATTCTGGTGGGGGCTTCGTCATTCATTGTGCTCTCCTAATCCACATGTCCGGTATCTGGCGGCTTGAATAATTATGGTCCGATTATAACTATTTTTAAACCTGAGATAACATGCCTTAAAGTCACTATTTGTCCAAAGTTGTATCCCGATATATTAATTGGTGCTTGATTTATATACTAGAAATTAAAAAAAGTCAGATGACATTTAATGTTGTTTTATATGGGAAGAAGGCACGGTTGCAGTCCGATTTCGTCAATTTTCGCAACATGGTAATGTCAAAATAATCCTATGAACCAAATTTGATTGAAATTGATCTCGTAAGTCCGAAGCTATGTGATTTCACCTAAATGTAAGCGGTGCCACGCCCATCGTCCAATTTTGACACTTTCTTCTAATAGTTTTATATTTCTGACGCATTTAGTTATTGATTTATCGCACTTTTAGTAGTTTTTAACAAAACCTTTATATTGGGTGTGGGCGAAGTTATCAACCGATTTCATTTGGGTGATTAGCTTTAACGGTTTGAGAGATATATACATTAAACCTATTAGAGGGCGGGGCCACGCCCACTTTAAAAACATTTTCAAACTATAGGTGCCCATCTTTATTGCGATTCGTTGTCCCAAATTACAGTTTCGTATCTTAATTTTGGATTAGTTATGGCACTTTATACGTTTTCGATTAATAGCTACCTACCGATTTGACCAAGGAACACGTGTACAAAGTTTCGTGCCGATATCTCAATTTTTACTCAAGTTACAGCTTGGACAATCAGTCAACCGGACTTCCACTCATCTCGTCATCCGGATCATTTATATATACATAACTCTATATCTATCTCGATTAGTTTTAGGTGTTTCAAACAACCGGTGAACAAAACTATTATACTCTGTAGCACCATGTTGCAAGAATATAAAAATATTTAAATTGAATGGCGATCCTATTTTTTTTAAATTTAATTGTTTAAATGACGTGTAAGAAAAACGAAGCACGATGGTGAAAGGCAAAATCATGAAAAAATTTAAATGTAAATACTTTTTCATGTTTTCTTTTAATCAGTATTTGCAGTCACTTTTAAGCGGTAGCAAACATCAGATCAGGTTTATTTGAAACGCTGCTCCGTTACTTCGCTACTATAGTTGAAACGTTGAAATGAACCAAAAATATAAAGTGAAAGCACAACAGTTTAGATAGGTGGAGTTGTTTATGTTGTGTCACGTAACTGTTAATTTATGCTTTGATCACTTAATGTTTTTGTTATGAATTTGTGTTGACGTTGACAAACCGTATCTTATTTCAGATGCCATAAATAATAACGTTTATATTAAATGGATATAAAATTTGTTTATCCTACATATAACTATTGTTATCTATTTAAATTTACTCTTTTTAGATCATTGAATCATCACCGATTCCTAATTCTAACGCATCCGTCCTGAATAAAAATATCTCTGAACAAGGTAATATTATACGTGATCTTAAAGCAAAAAAATCTACAAAGGATAAAGTCGATTTAGAGGTTAAGAAGCTGTTAGAACTGAAAGCTCAATTTAAAACGTTAACTGGTCAAGACTGGAAACCTGGTACAGAAGTAGTTGATGTGACTGCACAATCGGACGCTAAAACCGCTGTTGAACAAGTACTCAATAAAATTGCTGATCAAGGCGACAAAGTCCGTCAGCTAAAATCGCAAAAAGCCAATAAAACGGTTATAGAAACAGAAGTTAAAGTACTGATTTCTCTCAAAGCAGATTATAAGAAACTTACAGGAAGTGATTGGAAGCCAGTAACTGTAAAACCAGTGGTTTTTAAGAAGGAGAAGTTTCCAGAGCAACCATCAGCTAATACCGTTGCAGATTTACTTGCAAAAATATCTAAACAGGGAGACAAAGTTCGCTCACTTAAAAATGCTAATGGAGAAAAAAACATTATAGATACTGAAGTTAAATTGTTGTTGGCACTAAAAACGGACTACAAAAGTCTCACTGGACAAGACTGGAAACCGGCAACAACAGTTCCGTCATCTAAAACGGTTCCAGAATCTAAAATTGATTTGACCGACGACGACAGTCGAGACCTCAGTGCACTCCTTACACGAATAAAGTTCCAGGGTGACAAAATTCGAATATTGAAATCGGAAAAAGCCCCCAAGACTACAATTGACCTTGAAGTGCAATCCTTGTTGAGTTTAAAAGCTGGTTACAAACAAAGAACCGGCACAGAGTGGACACCCAACATTAAGATGGAACCAAAAGAAGTTATTCCCATTGAGCACATATCGGTTAAAATGTCTACTTCTCCAGAAAAAGAATTGTTAATCAAAGAAATCAATGTTCAAGGTGATAAAGTTCGTACTGCCAAGTCGACTAATTTACCAAAAGAAAATATTGATGCTGAAGTGAAAAAGTTGTTGGCACTCAAGACGAAATACAAAGAAATTACTGGAACTGATTTTCCAAACATCGGCGCACGTGGGGGTAATGGCTCAAAAAAAGGAAGTGAAAAGAATAATTTAACTCATAACAAGGAAACGACACAACTTAAAGCAGACGTTAATGCCCTGGCGAGTGGACTTAAAAAGCAGACACGACTTGGGCTTGAAGCTACAAAAGAGGAAAATCTTCCTGAATGGTATTCGCAGGTATAGTTATTTAATATTCAATGCAACATTAGTATACCTATATATATATTCTTTTAGGTTATTACTAAAGGGGAACTAATTGAATATTATGATGTGTCTGGTTGTTATATATTGCGCCACTGGTCATTTGCAATTTGGAAATTTATTAAAACTTGGTTCGATGCCGAAATAACCAAAATGGGCGTTAAGGAGTGCTACTTTCCCATATTCGTTTCACGTGCTGCTCTTGAAAGGGAAAAGACTCATATTGCGGATTTCGCACCAGAAGTTGCATGGGTGACGAAATCAGGAAGCTCTGACTTGGCTGAGCCAATTGCTGTGCGACCTACCTCCGAAACGGTTATGTACCCGGCATATGCAAAGTGGATTCAGTCCTATCGTGATTTACCCATGCGTTTAAACCAATGGAACAACGTTGTTGTAAGTAAACAGCCATTGTATACATATGATTAATAAAAAATTAAGAAAATTTATAAATCCAAATATTTAATGTGTGTATTTATATGCACTACAATTGTTACCCGCTTACCTATCATCGCTAGTTGATTTATTTGAATTTAAATCTTTTAAATTTGAATAGGCAACAAAATTTCTTTAATTTTTTGTATCATGGCTTATTGATAGCATAGAATGCAAAATAGTTTGATTAATTTCTAAAATTGAATTGAATTGATTGAAGGATTTCCTGTTTCGCTTTCTTAATGACATCCGAAATGATCCGACAGACTTGTGCTATGGTGTTTTCAGAGGGACTAAGCACGAATTGATTAAATGGTCCACCGAACGTATTTTGCCTGAAATTTGTGGTGTGGTGATTAAGTTCAATTGCAAGTTCCTGTCACAACGTTTCAATGAGTCTTTTGTCTCTCTTGTTAAATCTTTTAGTGAAATCGTGATTGTTTTTCATAAGATTAAATAGAACTGTCTATTCTACTATTCACTAATTTTGTGTTTACTTCTTAAAAATATAATAGCAAATTTCTAAAACTTACATTATCAATAATATATCACATGTTATAAATGTTTCTTTTTAAGTTATAATTAAAGATGTTTGGTTTACAGAACATAATATTTTAATTCGATATCACATCAAAATTATTAAATTTCTAAAACAGGTACATTCGATTTTCAAACGAAATCCCTTCGTTTATATATCAAAATAAAATGCAGAACATAGCATATCATTAATATTTGATTTTATGATGAACCAAACTTTTACATTCTTAATTAAATTTAATCAATTTATGTATTATACGAATTTAATGTCATCGTGATCTTCTCTATTTAGAGATGGGAATTCAAGCATCCTCAGCCATTCCTGCGAACTCGTGAATTTCTCTGGCAAGAAGGTCATACTGCGTTTGCCACAAAAGCAGAAGCCGATCAAGAAGTATTGGATATTTTAGATTGTTATGCGCATATCTACACGAATCTTCTTGCTATACCTGTAGTGAAGGGTCGTAAAACAGAAAAGGAGAAATTCGCTGGAGCTGATTATACCACTACTGTAGAAGCTTTTATTTCCGCATCGGGTCGCGCTATTCAAGGCGCTACCAGTCATCATTTAGGTCAAAATTTCTCGAAAATGTTCGAGATCATGTTTGAAGATCCCGAGACGCAACAAAAACAATTTGTATTCCAGAATTCTTGGGGACTAACTACTCGTACGATTGGTGTCATGATTATGGTGCATGCAGACAATCAGGGGCTGGTGTTGCCGCCACGTGTTGCTTGTATACAAGCTATTATTGTACCTTGTGGCATAACGGTTAATACGAAACCCAATGAACGTGAACGGCTTTTACAAGCTTGTAAAAAGCTTGAAGGACAGTTGAACGTAAAGGGTGTTCGTTGTGAAGGTGATTATCGTGACAATTACTCACCAGGTTGGAAGTTTAATCATTGGGAGTTGAAGGGTGTTCCACTTCGTATTGAACTTGGTCCAAAAGATATGAAGAATAATCAAATTGTTGCGGTACGCCGGGATACGGGTGAAAAACTTATTTTGGCTTTAGAAGACGTCGAGTCAAAAATTAGCCAATTGTTGGAAACAATACATGATAGTATGTTAGCAAAAGCGAAAAAAGAGTTGGTTAATCATACAAAACTTACAAAGAATTGGACGGACTTCTGCAAATTTTTGGATGCTAAGAATATTCTACTTTCCCCATTTTGTGGTGAAATCAGCTGTGAAGAAAAAATTAAAGGGGATAGTGCAAGGTTTGTATAAATGTTTGGCTCCTTTTTTTAATCTAATTTAAAATACTTTACAGAGACGAGGAGGCAGAACCTGGAGCTCCTGCTATGGGCGCTAAATCACTTTGCATACCATTTGATCAACCTGCTGCGATTACTGTTAGCGATAAATGTATTCACCCAAGTTGCGTAAATAAACCCCAATTTTATACGTTATTTGGACGCAGTTATTAATTTAACATTAAATGGCGGACGAAAATATCTCAAAAAAAAAAATTCAATTTCGAAATAAACGAAAATGTTATAGAGTTTAATAATGAAAATTGAACTATAAATAAATTTATTAAAATTATATTTATTTTTTATATTAATAAAAAAAAATAGTAAAAAATCGTAAAATTATATATGTACATACATGCGTCAAAAGTTTACGCTCATCTTGATTCAGTTCTAGTTATTGTGTCGTACACCCGACATAAGATGATCTAACAAGATGAGATGAGCATTTGTTAGTACAGATAGCTCGAAAGAATTGACTGCAAGCACCTGTTCGCAAGGATTGGGAAAAGCTAAAAATCATACTAAACAACTTTTGGATGCTCCTTTCAGAAGAGAAAAGACAACTCCGTAAAACCCAATGATAAAAGTGGTAACATAGCTCTTTTCGATTTATAGCTTACAATACGGGCGACGACGAATATTCATCGTACTTGGCCACGCCGTTAACGAATTTTCGCCGAGTGTTGCCGCCGTGTAAAACACAATACGCTGTGGTGAAATCCCCTCATCGAATCTTGTTAGGTTTTGACAATTCACACGGTGGGCCGCAATTGAACCTTCTCTATGATATACGTTCTCTACTTCTCGTTCTTCGAAGTTCTCTGGGCGAGTAACCCTCTGTCAAGAGGAACATTTTGACAATCGGCACACCATGAACCTTTTCTTTGAAATACGTTCTCTGGTTTAATAGAGCTGTTTTTGGATAAAAAAATCCTTTCATTTAAATTCGTAAATACAGAATTTTTTTTAAATAACATACCAACCATTAAACTTAACTACTTTTCATACTTTAATTAGGTGTTGGAGGGCATTAGGAAGAATGTTCCGGAAATATTTACCATTAGTTAAGAATTTATAATGTTCTGAAATGCTGGTTGCACATAACCTTAATACGTCTAGCCGCAATTCAGAATTTTTGTCGCCACGGTTTTCCAGTATTTTAATAAGAATTAGGATAATACATAAACGAATATAATTTTAATTAATTTTTATTTATTCCATTATTGTTCATGTTTTGTTTTATAAATAAATCCAAATATTTCATAAAAATGAAGCGTACAAAGCAGGGATAAAGGGATGAGCAACTTATTCCAGTGTGAAAGCGCCTCAAATTAGCGTTTTTTATAAAATTTTCCATTGTAGATCGGGCAAAATTATAATTTTTTTGTGATTTTGTAATATATTAAAACAAGTGATTTTTTCATTTGCGTTTTCTTTAATTTTCATTGTTTTTCAATTTTTGTTAGTAAGGGTGCGTTCGAGATGGCAATCACGACTGCTGTGTTGCAAATCTATCAAAGTATCACGTTCTACGAGAATTTCTGATTTACTCTCACTTTTTGCACGCAATTTATGCAAATATTCGGCAACATTAAATTTTTGTCTACACATCAGCAGAGTATTAGCAAATATACAACACAGTTTCTGTACTGCTGCAATTATTACATAGCTCGAACGCACCCTAATCTTCAACAGGAGCAATAAATCTCTCTGTTCACAGATTGTTTTGGTAGGATTTCAATCTGGCCGTCCCTCTGACGTTTATAGCACAAACAGTCACCGACATTCCTCCCTTCCGTACTTACATCCCGTATCAAACCAAATTTGTCAAAAGTTATGCCCGTAGTTGCAACTCAGAAATCAGTTGTTCTCTTTGGTTTTCATTTCAGCAATGTTGGTATTGTTCTATTTTTATACACGAGTTTTTACACATTTAGTTTTTTAGTTAAAATTTTTCATAAAGTATTATGAGAAATATATCAAAGTATTTTGAATTAAATTATTACTAATACAAGTATTTTGATATATTTCTTCAAATAATTCATGTACTTGAAACTTTTCTCACTTTTTTTTGTGTTTGCAGGGTTGTCACTTTTCCCTTCTAGAGGGTACATCAGAAAGTTGTTCATTTTTTGATTTCTAGCTTCTACGCTTGCTCGGGGAGATGTGTAAGGCGTTTGCTTTTATGAATGAAACGACTTAGCTTATTGCATGTGCGCTTGCGATCTTGAATGAAAATGTTGTTGTTGTATGATTTACTATACATTTGGGCTATTGAGACGATTATTGTTTTTGTAGAACAATGTTTGTAATTTTTGCTGGTGACATATTTATATGTGTATGTAGGTTTGTGTATGCATTATTGGTTCGGCAATGTAATACGCACATAAGTACACATGTTCATATAGAGCATTGCGCGCACATGTATTCATTGATAAGTGATAATATCAAAAATTCTATTCCTTTATGTGTACATACCAGAGAATGCAAGTGAACTCCATATCGATGTACATAAATATGTATGTATGTACATATATAAATTATTAATTTTTTAACAATTGAAATTAGAAAATTATTAAAAAAGTAAAATATATATTATTTTTGCATAATCTTTCGCATTTTATTATGCATATTATATTTTAAAAAATTTGTATCATAAAAATCGTTTATATGACGAAAAATAATCACGCATATAGTGGCATTTGTTTTTTTTTTTGTTCAAAGTACTTCATTTTTCTCTTTATGTTGATAGATACGTATTTCTGCCAGAGAAAGTTATTATAAATTCTCATTTCTGTTAAATAGCAGGGAATACCACCGAAAATGGTGAATTCCCTGCTCGGAATTTTTCAGCTCTGTTAGCCGTCCTATCGAGCATCATATAAAATTCAATTTGCACCTTCTCGTCCATTTACGTTCTCTGTCTAGACAATATATATTCTTTTCCCGTTGCGAAGTGATTTATTTGAAGCCACTTTGAAGGTGGACTGTTAAAAAGACAAGCGCCCTTCATAAGAAACGTTTCAATCCCGAAAATCAACGATGTTAAGGCTGATATCAAGACAGGTCTACACGTGGAATAAACTTACCTCATAAATAACTTATTCTATACAAGTAGTTATGCGAATACCTTTATTTTGCGCATAGATGTAAAATGTCAATTGCAATTACATTTGTAGTCAGCTGATTTAAATGAAGTTAATTTGTAGCCGGTTTACAAATGGTGTAGATTCTTGAATGTTGAAATCTTTCTTCGTATTTTGACTGTAATAATAAATTTTATTTTGCCCTGGACTTCAGATAGTCATGTTGCTTCAGTTGGTTCATACCAAGAAGAATACTACAAACAAGGAAGAATAACCTGGCCTTTTGTGAAAGTTTGTTTTTTGCTATAAAACCACAACATCAAAAGAATATATATTATATATAGCTATAATTGTTTTGTGTTTATGATAAAATGTCTTTCTATTGGTGTGATAATATTCATACTACGGTTTTTACCCCGCGTGATTATCAAATCGAACTGCTTTCTGCTGCATTTGAACGTAATGTAATTATATGCCTTGGTCATAAGTCTTCCAAAGAATTCATAGCCTTAAAGTTGCTGCAGGAATTATCACGACCAGCAAGATTAACCGCTAAGGCTAATTTATATTTAACAACTGAACGAAATGCTTTATCAATAACTGCTATGATTGAGCATTTGACAAATCTGAAAGTGTACAAAGTGGAAAACTTCGAGGTGAGTGACAAGAGTCAACCGCACATACCAAAAGACTTTCAACTTTATGTTCTTCATCCGCGTACTTGTTTGGAAGCATTGAGAAGTGGAGTGCTCAGTTTGGAGAATGTTCATGTATTAATATTGGAAGACTGTCATGAAGCTGATGTTTATAAGGATTTGCGCACAATTTTTCAGAAACATTTTTATAATTTGAGTACAGAGATTCCGAAAGTGTTGGGCTTGGCAGGTCCTCTACATAGTGCAGAGTGCTCCTTGCAAGAGTTAAATGCAATGTTAAATACATTAGAAGACAGTTTGCATTCTAAAGCAGAGACAGCAAGCGACATTGTGACTGTACTAAGGTTTGCATACATTTGTCAATTTACTTTTAGAAAATATTTGAATGAATGAATTTTTATTTAGATATTGTGCGAGGCCAAGTGAATTTGTTGTTCAATGTATGCCTTATGATCGCGATGAATTGATATCTGTATTAGAGGAGATCCTTTTTACAAGGAAAGCCTTTTTACTAGATCATCGATACGACCCTTTTGAAATATATAACACAGATGAATATTTAGAAGAATTAAAAGGTATGTTGTTATGAGTTTGCAAAATATTTTTGATTGTAATTTTCATTGTTATAGATATCCCTGATCCCAAAGAGGAGCCTATGAAATTTTTAGAAGTTATGCTCTTTGTGCTTCATGAAATGGGGCCATGGTGTGCTGATCGCGTTGCAGTTAACATGTTTCATCGCATAGAAAAACAGAAAATAAAGACGCCACATGAACGTCACTACATTTTGTTGTGTGTGGTCAACACTGCGCTTTTAGAATTTCATGCTATTTGTGAGCAAACATTCAAAAAAATCGGTAACCACAAAGAGCTAGTTGAACGATATTCAAGCCCTAAGGTATTTCGTTTGTTAGAAATTTTACGTTTATTTAAACCGGAAGAATTATTAACTAAGAATGAAGCCATACATAAACTAAGTCAGGATTTAGATCAGATGGATTTTCAAAAACTTAGTCGAAATATTGAATATAGTTGCCAAAACGTTGAGAATGTAACTATGAAATTACAACTAGAATCTCGATCAATTATTGACAACTTGGATCCGATTGTAAAAAATATTTCTGGCAATTCAACGCAACAAAATATACAAATGGGTACATACAAAATAGAAAACTCTACTACATCGAATCGTAGACATGGTGCGGGTGGAGCCCATAGCCGTTTCAAACGTAGACCTTTTAATCGTCGACACATTCGGGACACCGGTGATGAGCTAGATACACTATGTGCAATTATTTTTTGCAATTCAAACTATACAGCGCGTGCACTTTTTGATTTGCTTAGCGAAATGAGTCGCCATGATCCTGAATTGAAATTTCTTAAATGCCAATATACAACTGATCGAGTCGCAGATCCTATCAGCGAACCAAAAGAAGCCGAGGTGGAGCATAGGCGTCAGGAAGAGGTACTGAAACGTTTTCGCATGCATGACTGTAATGTCTTAGTTGGAACTTCTGTGCTAGAAGAAGGTATTGATCTTCCTAAATGTAATTTAGTAGTTCGCTGGGATGCTCCGACCACTTATCGTAGTTATGTGCAGTGTAAAGGACGAGCAAGAGCAGCACCGGCCTATCATGTGATATTAGTTTCACCTGCTTATACTGCCGTTCATAGTAAAAATGAACAACTAAGCAACGAAAGCCACATATATCTATGTAAACTGGAAGATGGGCAAGACGAATATATTGATTCAGATACATGTAGCGATGAAGAGAAGTCTGATAATAATAAAGTAAATAAATTCACAATTGGTTCTACAAAGGGAATTGTAAAAATACTAAATCCCGAAGTTATTACAAATAAACCACCAACAAAAAGCGTTTTGACATTGAAAGAGATCACGGATGATTTACGGGATTTTAAAAGCGTACATAATGAAACGAATAATGCTAACATAGTAGAAATTGAGCACAACTTGTCTTCAATCATGGAGTTAAAATGTGAAACATCTCTAATGAAAGAAACTAAAAATAAATCAGCAATCAAAGAATCTTTAAACGATTGTTATGAAGTTCTTAACCTTAGTGATGCTATATCAGATATAAGTACTTTATTGAATGGTTCTTTTTCAAGCTCTTTAGTAGAAGACGCATCAATCGCAGCATCTTCAGAATCGGCTTCACCGAAACTCCAAAAAGAGAAACGTAGATTTCAATGCTTCTTTGAAAGTGATAAAGCAGTAGCCAATACTTCCACATATTTCGATGTATCTTTGAGTCAATTAGAATTCACAACCAATAAAATAGTAGAACAACTAGCGGAATATCGTCAAATAGAGAAGGTATGCTAATTATATTGATTGAATTTTAATAAAACCACTAATCAGTATATACATAAAAGGTACTCCTATCGAAATGTGCTAATACTGAGCCCCCAGAAACGGAACATCATATTGCAGACTATTTTAACAAATGTATTAAGCGATACAAGCCTCTGGAACATTTATTGACTGGTGCATCTGTAGATCTTAATACCTCCATAGCTTTAGTCAACAAGTATTGTTCGAAATTGCCAAGTGATACTTTTACAAAACTTACAGCACTTTGGCGTTGTACTAAAACGATTCGATCTGGAGTCGAAGTATATCAATACACAATACGTCTTCCAATCAATTCCCCATTAAAATACGATATAGTGGTATGTTTCAATTCATTAATTTAATGTAAACATTTTAAACTTTTGTTATTGCTTTATTCTTTAAGGGACTTCCAATGTCTTCGAATATATTGGCCCGTAGAATGGCCGCATTACAGACATGTATAGAGCTTCATAAAATTGGGGAATTGGATCAAAACTTGCAGCCAATAGGAAAGGAAAGCTTTCGCGCTATGGAATCTGACTGGGAAAACTTTGACCTAGAAGAGGAGGACGAAAAAATAGTACATGATAACTCTGAACCACGACCGGGAACAACGAAACGGAGACAGTATTACTACAAACGTGTAAGTAGTTCAAACACTTAATAAGATAATAAAAAGTTAGCCATAATATCATTTTATTTAATGCTTCTGTTACTATAGATTGCCTCCGAGTTCAGTGAATGCCGTCCAACTGTAGGTGTACTATGCTTTTTGTATTTGATTGATTTGACACTGCAATGTCCAATTCCGGAGGAACAAAATACACGTGGTCGGAAAATATATCCACCTGAAGATGCGCAACAAGGCTTTGGCATTCTAACCTTAAAACGAATACCAAAAGTCAGTTCATTTCCTATATTTACGCGTTCCGGTGAAGTAAAAGTATCTATTGTTCTTTCAAAAGAGATGGTTGTACTCACAGAAGTGCAGATACGTTGCATTAATACATTCCTCAACTACACATTTACAAATGTATTGCGCCTTCAGAAGTTCCTTATGCTCTTTGATCCAGATTCTACCGAAAATTGTGTATTTATTGTACCTACGATAAAAAGTAGTAGTAGAAAGGTAATCGACTGGGATTTCCTTGAGTTAATTGAAAAAAAATCCAGTATGATGCCTTCTGCGGTCACGGATGATTTACGTAAATCTATTGAATTCGATGCAAATACGTTCAAAGATGCCGTTGTTATGCCCTGGTATCGCAATCAGGATCAGCCGCAGTACTTTTACGTGGCAGAAATTTGTCCACAACTCTCACCTCTAAGTTGTTTTCCTGGGGAAAACTACCGCACGTTTAAGCATTACTATTTTCTAAAATACGGTTTAACAATTCAAAATGTTAAACAGCCATTATTAGATGTAGACCATACCAGCGCACGTTTGAACTTTTTAACACCTCGTTATGTCAATCGAAAAGGCGTTGCCCTGCCCACCAGTTCTGAAGAAACTAAACGTGCCAAGCGTGAGAACTTGGAACAAAAACAAATTCTTGTGCCGGAACTGTGCACTGTGCATCCGTTTCCTGCTTCACTGTGGCGAACTGCTGTCTGCTTACCCTGCATTCTATATCGTATAAATGGGTTATTATTGGCTGATGATATACGAAAAAAGGTTTCACTAGACATCGGATTGGGACTGCAGGAAATCCCCGATAATTTTGAATGGCCTATGCTAGACTTTGGCTGGAGTTTGTCGGAGGTTTTAAAGAGATCAAAAGAAAATCAGAATGTTCCATTATTGGATAAGAAAAAAGAAGAAAGTAGCAATAAAGAAACAAACAAAAGTAATGTCTTCGTGAAAGGCAATGGAGTTGGTGACGAATTGGATAACAGTTATAAAAGCAACCACTCAAAAACGAAAAGTGCAAATGAAATTATTATAGAAGGTGAAAAAAAATTGAAGGTATCTAAAGTATAGATATTTATTTGTTGATATTTACTAAATTTGCGGGGTTTTTTCAGGATAATACTTTTATAGAAATAGGCACTTGGTCCAATGAGATGGCTGACAATATCAATTGCAGTAAAGAGTCTGAGTCAATAGATGAAGATGAGGAAGAATGTTTTAAATATTTCCCATCGAATGTTAGTTTTTGTAAGTTAAAGTTTTGTTATAGTTAACTAGTATTGTAATTTAATATACTTAAATTTATGTCTAGGTGACCAACAAATGCGCTACGGCTCTCCCACTTTCTGGGATGTGAAAGAATCAAACCTAATCAAAAAAGCAAATGGTGTGCTAAATCCGAATAGTGATACAAATAATATTCGAAAGAATTCGTTTACATTCTATGACTCGGATGACTCGTTTGCTTCCAGTTACGATGACAATGAACCTAATAATTATAGTGACGATGACAATGATGGTTATGGTGCTTCACGTATTGCATTCACTTCAAGAAATGAAGCTGAAACAATTGAAACAGCACAAGAGATCGAAAAGCGCAATAAACAAATATCTATAATTCAAGCAACTAATGCGAATGAGCGTGATTATCAGAAGACCAAAAACTTGCTTGTGGGATACAATTTTGTGGATTTGAAACCTAGTATGGAAGCAGAATTGAGTCACTCGATCGCCCAATACACCACATCTACACTACAACTAAAAAATAGCATTAAACAGTCGAGTATGCTTGTAAAATATGATCAACCAGTGGCGTTGAAGCTAAAGAATTCGATAAACTCCACCTCAAATAATACCAATGAACCGCCTTCTATAGATGTGTTTTGTAAACTATTGCCTTATGCTGATAAAAACTTGTTAATGTCTATCTTAAAAGAGCATGCTAACGTGCTAAGCGTATCGGATATAGCTCGGTTAAATGCTGAATATTTAAAATCTCACACTGTTGAGCTATTCGAAATTCAAGGTTGTGGTGATATTTTTGACAATTTCAATGATAAGGACAAGCTGAAGTTAGAACAATCTGGTGATAGATGTAAAAAAGTGATAAAATTAAATTTTGAGAGGAAAGAATGTTCTTCCAGTATAATTAATACGTCCCCCCCCGTAATTGAAAATAACACGAGAAATCATTCTACTGGGTTTAGTTTTGACTATCAACCAGATTTGGTTGGACATCCAGGTCCAAGCCCAAGTATTATTTTGCAAGCTTTAACTATGTCGAATGCCAATGACGGCATTAATTTGGAACGTCTCGAAACTATTGGCGACTCATTTCTTAAATACGCCATTACCACTTATTTGTATATAACATACGAAAATGTTCATGAAGGCAAACTAAGTCATTTGCGTTCAAAGCAAGTAGCCAACTTGAATTTGTATAGATTGGGCAGACGAAAAAAACTGGGCGAATATATGATAGCGACAAAATTTGAACCTCATGACAATTGGTTACCACCGTGTTATTATGTGCCCAAAGAGCTGGAGAAGGCGCTTATCGAGGCCAAGGTCGGCTAAAATACGTTATACTACCAAGTTTTGCAAATATTTATAGTAATTAATAAATCTTTTACATATATATATTTTTTTTATATAGATTCCCCCGCATCACTGGAAGCTGGTCGATTTAGCGAATATAAAAAAATTAACCAGCGCTGAGATATGCGAATTAGTGCGAGAAAAGGCTGACAAATTAGGACTTATTGCTGATGTAAGTAATAATATGTATTTTTCATTCTAGTGGGTACATTAGTATTGTTACCCATAGGCAAGCAATTCCAACGAGAATAACGTCACTCTTGATGAGAGTGGTGATGGAAGTGACTTTACTTGTTTCATTCCGTATAACCTTGTGACACAACATAGTATACCAGGTGAGACAATAGATAACATTTGTTTTAATAACAATAAACTTGAACATTAATTTAGATAAATCTGTTGCCGATTGTGTCGAGGCGTTAATTGGAGCCTATTTAATTGAATGCGGGCCACGGGGAGCTCTTCTGCTTATGGCATGGTTGGGAATACGAGTGCTTCCGTTTGTACATATACCATTTAATCAACAGGAGTCTCGAGCTCCCGGTAGTACAAATCCGGATGAGAATGGCAACATAATAGTATATGGAAAGTGGGTAGCTCCGAAAAGTCCACTCCTTCTGTATGCCCCTAATGCCACTCAAGAATTAGAATATATGCTTGAAGGCTTTGATGAATTTGAGGCCACATTAGGTTATAGGTTTCGCGATCGTTCTTACCTATTGCAAGCCATGACTCATGCTAGTTATTCGCCAAATCGTTTGACAGATTGTTACCAACGGTTAGAATTCCTTGGAGATGCAGTTCTAGATTATTTAATTACACGTCACCTATATGAGGATCCCAGGCAACACTCACCTGGTGCATTGACGGACTTACGATCAGCTTTAGTAAATAATACTATATTTGCGTCTTTGGCCGTTCGACATGGTTTTCACAAATATTTTCGCCATTTGTCTCCAGGTCTAAACGAAGTTATCGATCGTTTTGTGCGTATTCAAAACGAAAATGGACACAGTATAAGTGAAGAAGTAAAAGAAATTTTCACAGTTTATACTTATAGTTGTAATATTAATTAATATTCATAATTGTTTATAGTATTACCTACTTTCGGAAGAAGAGTGTGATGATGCTGAAGATGTTGAAGTTCCAAAAGCATTAGGTGATGTATTTGAGTCAATTGCGGGCGCTATTTTTTTAGATTCCAATATGTCGTTAGATGTTGTATGGGAGGTGTATAGCAATATGATGAGACCGGAGATTGAACAATTTAGTAATTCGGTGCCGAAATCGCCCATTCGAGAGTTACTAGAATTGGAACCAGAAACAGCTAAATTTGGGTAATTACAAACTAAGACTTGAGATCTAAAAAATTTTCTATATTTTATATTTATTTTTTTAATTTTGGTAGAAAACCGGAGAAACTGGCTGATGGGCGTCGTGTGCGTGTTACTGTTGATGTATTCTGCAAGGGTACTTTCCGCGGTATTGGCCGCAACTATCGTATAGCGAAGTGCACTGCTGCGAAATGTGCATTGCGTCAATTAAAGAAGCAGGGTTTAATAACGAAAAAGGATTAAATTTTATATATATCACCAAAAAAGGTATTACGTGTTTACGTACCCCTACTATATATTTTAATTAGTCTGATTTCATGTATGCTTCAATATAAACGAGCAAATAAAGTTTTTTTTACCAATGTGCTTTTTTACACCAGTTAAAAAATTATTTTTATTTAATTCAAAATTACCCTGCTAAAGCCTATATTTTAGATATTAATAGCAGTTACTGACAGTTATTATCCAATTGTGATAATTTATATAGTTGTTTTAGATACATTTATCCTTTTGCCGCCTTTGATTTGCTCTTCGCTTTCTTAACACGCTTCAGACCATCCATGTTGCTTTTCATGAATTGACCATACATATTAATCATTCTGGGTACATCTTCTTGCCGCACTATAGTAGATATCTAAAAAAAAAATTATGTTATTTTACAAACAATAAATTAAATTAGGATTTACTTTTTTTGATTTTGTTTGTGCTCGCATAAGGCACAAATATACTTCAGGTTCGGGTATATCTGATCGTCCGTCTCGGGGGTTCGGTCTATTTTGGCCATTGTCTGGAAAATTAAGTTAAAGTTTACATACAGCTTATGACAATAAAAATGTTAAAAGTGCATACAACGTTTGAATGTTACGGAAAATGAAGAGTCCTTCTTCGCAGCATTAGCAAATTTTTCTAACCGGATTATAAACTGAAAGGAAATTAAATTTATTTAGAAAATTTACTTTCAAATCTTGTAAAAAATCAAATAATATATTAACCGAAGAATTGTCTAGTAAAACCATATTCGTATTCGTATGCAAAAATGTATTGAATTTTTGACAGCTTTTTGACAACTATAATTCTCTTTCATTTTAACATGCGTTCGCTTTATTGATAATACCAATTTAATTTAGCTTACATACAATATGTGCAGTATTCAACAATTACATAATAAATACATTAAAATTAATAAAAATAATAATTAGAGTTAAACAAATGTTTTTAAACGTATTGATTTATTAACAAACAAAAAAGTAAAAACAAATTACCAAAACCGTAACAGTACTCTAAAATGAAATGTCACTGCAGCTAACTTCATGTTAGCTTAAAGTGACTTGTGAAAATTGTTTGTCCGTTCAGTCAGTTTAACCATTAATTAAATTTGAGAAAGATTTAGAATAACAAATATGGTAAGTTATTATATTTTCAAATGTCTATCTTACGCAAATATGTAAATAACAAATTTATTAGGGTCAAAACCAATCCGCCCAAAGTGGCTCAGGAGATAAGAAAGATGACAAGGATAAGAAAAAGAAATACGAACCTCCAATTCCGACACGGGTAGGAAAGAAGAAGAGACGAGTAAAGGGTCCTGATGCCGCTATGAAACTACCACTAGTAACTCCACATACCCGATGCCGTCTTAAACTTCTGAAGTTAGAGCGAATTAAAGATTACCTAATGATGGAAGATGAATTCATACGCAATCAAGAACGACTGAAGCCACAAGATGAAAAGAACGAAGAAGAACGTTCGAAGGTCGATGATCTACGTGGCACACCCATGTCAGTTGGAAACCTTGAGGAGATTATTGACGATAATCATGCTATTGTTTCGACGTCAGTGGGTTCAGAACATTACGTTAGTATCTTGTCATTTGTAGACAAAGATCAATTAGAACCAGGATGCTCAGTGTTGCTAAACCATAAAGTTCATGCTGTAGTCGGTGTTCTTAGTGATGACACGGATCCAATGGTAACAGTCATGAAACTTGAAAAGGCGCCCCAAGAAACTTATGCCGACATTGGCGGCTTGGATACACAAATACAGGAAATCAAGGAGTCTGTCGAATTGCCATTAACTCATCCAGAATATTATGAGGAAATGGGTATTAAACCACCGAAAGGTGTTATCTTATATGGTCCTCCAGGGACTGGCAAAACATTACTTGCCAAAGCTGTGGCCAATCAAACATCTGCGACTTTTTTGCGAGTTGTGGGTTCCGAGCTGATCCAAAAATATCTGGGAGATGGTCCAAAATTAGTACGTGAGCTTTTCCGAGTTGCTGAGGAGCACGCACCTTCTATAGTTTTCATAGACGAAATCGATGCTGTCGGTACAAAACGTTATGATTCAAACTCTGGTGGTGAAAGAGAAATTCAACGTACTATGTTGGAATTACTTAATCAGCTCGACGGATTCGATTCAAGGGGTGACGTTAAGGTGAAAAATTTTAACTTTATTTTCTAATATTTTGATAATTAAAACAAGAAATATCAAATTTTATGATTATTAGGTTATTATGGCAACAAACCGCATTGAGACATTAGACCCTGCTCTTATACGTCCTGGTCGAATTGATCGTAAAATTGAGTTTCCACTTCCCGATGAAAAAACGAAGCGTCGAATATTTACGATTCATACATCTCGTATGACTTTGGCAGAAGATGTAAATCTAAATGAGCTAATTATGGCTAAGGATGATCTATCCGGAGCGGATATTAAAGCTATATGCACCGAAGCTGGTTTAATGGCATTACGTGAACGACGTATGAAGGTTACTAATGAAGACTTCAAAAAATCTAAGGAGAGTGTTTTATATCGAAAGAAAGAAGGAACAGTCGAAGGATTGTATTTATAAAACCATTTATTTCTTAAAATAACACATAAATATCTAATCTACATTTTGTGAACATAATAAATTAGTTGTTAAAGGAAGGGTTTGCTTACAATTATTTGCTTCAGAATTATTTTAAATAACAATTTTAAAGTTGGTAAACCGTATTCAGGCATTCTGGACTTTTATTAGCCGCGTGAGTATGTTTTATATCTGTCGCAATGTGTACTATAAAGTCATATAGAGATGGTTCGGTTACAAGTCTTTAAATATTTCTTCATTATAAATTTCCAAATTTAGAGAAAGCGCATTATATTTCTCAAGTTCGAAACCCGTACGCAACCCATCCGAGTATCCTTTGTTAAAGGCCATTTGTACTGTTTCTTCTTTTCCATCTGACACACCATCGGCATACCTAATCTACGAAATATTTATTTGACATTTATAAAAAGTATATAGGCAGCACTGATTAGCAACATTGTTAGTTCATACATCTTACTGTGATGTGTTTGTAATTGTGGTTCTTACTTTAGCTAATTTGGTGCGGATTCTTTGGTAATTATTCTCGGTAATCTTTCTAAAATCCTCATCATCGAAAGAAGATTCACGGGTAATTTCCATTTTTTAATTGTACGATAAGTTATTGCAGAAAATGTGTTATAAATTGTGCTCCACGAGACTATAGAAGTAAACCTTTTCATTATGACATTTCTGGAGGTGAATAGCGGCCATCTTTATTTTACAGTGATAGCAATGCAGTGTTGTATGCCAACGTAGTAATATTAATTGAACTAAATTCCTAAAGTATAAAAAATTGTTGGCTTATGAATATCATATTTATATCATCTTAGTTGAGTATAAGGTATTACATTGTAATTTGAATGAAATACAGCTCTGGTGATTGTTGTAGCGACATAATTGTGCCGAGTTGATAGTCCTTGGCCGAATAAAATCCGGCTCCGTTCCGGTTACGCAGACCTGACTGTCGTGAGAACGGTTCAACTTTGGTGGTAATATTTCTCTAAAAAATCACTCTTTTAGAGCATTGTATACATCTACAAGTAACTAATCCTAAGATTTTCACTAATACACACGCAAAAATATCCCACTTGGTACGGGTTGCCTCGAAAATTCTACTACTAAAATCACACTTGGTACGGGTTGACAATCAATATTCTGATACTAAAGTCACACTTTGTACGGGTTGCCAACCAATATTCTACTACTAAAACGTCCAAATGACAGAAATCTGCTCTAGTGTGTTGCCGTGTTATGTTTTAAAATTTATAACTTTAAGAATGTTTTTATTCCAGATGCAAATATTTTTGGGTTGTTTTAATTCCTAAAGATTAAATTTACATAGTATTATTTAAAATATCATTTAGTGTATTGAAATATTATTAAATGTTTCCAATTTTATCAAATATATTATTGTGTAACGGTGATTTAGAATATTTTTTATATTTATTCCTTTTTTGTTCAAATATAGAGTTCCTGGGGAACCGAACACCCAAAAATGATCGGTAACGCACCTATATTGCAAGCTCAGAGGTTGTGAGGAAAAGCAATAAATATATAATAATCTTTTGTTTCGAAAATATTCTTGAAAGTTTTCATTAATATTCTCCATACCAAATACATGTTCACAAACAAGCCTTTCATTTACATCTCTGTGTCAAAAAAAAGGCAGATTCGATCAGGTGATCACGGCTGTTTCACACACATAGGAAAACAGCTGATTCTTTGGCTACTTGTAGGTTTATACAATGTTTTAAAGCACTTCAAACTAAAAAGTGAAAAATATAAACTGACAGTAATAATGACCGAAAAATACTTGTATTACTATGAGGAAAGTATGGTATACTTGATATACGAAAATTGCACAAACCATCCCAGGCTTTTCTCCCTATAATACAAGTACCTAACTCCCGAGTTGGGTAAATAATACTGTAATAGAGAAGGCGCAAATGTTAAGAAGTACTATTTTGAGCTTTTCACAAGAGGGAACATCGAAAAATACAACTTCGAACCTAAGAAATACACCACGCAATGACTAAAACGGGGAAAGACTATAAATAAACACAAATAATGTTCTTAAATGAATTATGAGCATGCTGATTTACATTTGCATATTACCAATAAATCATAATTTTTGTAATTTAAAACAATCCTTCAAATTATATAAATGGATTATTGGTTAAACGCATATGCAAAGAATAACAATAAAACAGTAGCTAAACGGCGGCGTTCTCACACTGCAATACGAACGGTGCATATATACATATGCACAGATGTTCTTTGGTATGCGCATGAACAAAAATTAAAATAAAAAAGAAAATAATTGACTTATGGAAAGTAAATGTAAATTATAAGAATAGAATTAAAATGTCATTTAATAAAAATAATCTACATTCTCTGTATAAACATACAGGTGAAGCAAGTGAAAGCGTTATAAAAAAACAGAGAACGTTCTCTGAAAATATAAATTGTCAAGCAAAGCGAGTCAAGTTGTATGTGAATGGGTCATAATAATCCAAAGTAGCACAATGACATATAGCGGAATGGCAGAAAGCTGCCTGACTCGAGAACGAAATTTGCAATAACAAAAAGAAGCTGCTAATAATAAGAACAAAAAGTTGTAAAGGAGAGTTCTTGGTATTCGACTGATCGACTAACCGGATAGGGCATTGTTGAAATAATAATATAAGGTTTGCAGTATCCGGATAGTTGTAAGTAGTCGACTATTCACTTAACCGTTAATTTTCGACTATCACGTTAACGATTATTCTAATAGTAAGCGTTCATTCAAAAAAACAAAACAAAAATCGTCGTTCTATGGCGTCGTTGTATTAGTCGGTTAATATTCATATGAACAGTACCAACCGGATATTCGAATAATTGATTTTCAGACTATTCGTAACATTTTAAGAGCCCTCATGTGTAACCAAACTATACTGACGTAAACAAAGTGTAGGTATTACGTATACATTTGTAGATACTGATGTATCGATAATAGACAAATAGTTGTTTTAAGATTTGTATACTCTCGCAACATATTTATATTAAGTGTTTAATGTCATTTCGTTGTTGTATTGTAGGGTGGAGGTCCATGTTTTGGATATATAAATTATAATTGAACTGGTAAAAGTAAACAAACATGGCTGCCAATGACATATCCGATTTAATATTGGTTATAATTCAGAGAGTTGTAACTGGAGCTTCAAATGATGATCTGGTTAAGGGATTACCAGAAGTAACTGCGCAAGCTCGAATGGAAAGTTTGAATAAATTGTTACAACAGGGCACTATTGAATTACTTAAAAAAGGTGACAAGCTCATATACCGTGCTAAAGATCCGAAAAGGAGTGCATTACCCAAAGATGCCGATAATGAGGAACGAATAATTTATGGTATAATTGAAGAAGGCGGAAATAAAGGCATATGGATTCGTGATATACGCATGCAATCAAACCTTAACATGACACATTTGAATAAAATTTTAAAAAATCTGGAGACTAAAAAACTGATTAAAGCAGTCAAATCCGTAAATGTAAGACATATCTTAAAAGTATTCACAGTTTCCTGTTGATATATTTCGTTGTAGGCTAGTAAAAAAAAGGTATACATGCTGTATAATTTAGAACCAGACCGCACAGTAACTGGCGGTGCCTGGTATCAAGATCAAGACTTTGAGGCTGAATTTGTGGACGTCCTTAATCAGCAATGCCTAAGATTTTTACAATTGAACCGTGAGAATGCAGAAAAAAAACGTGAAGGTCCCTTGGCACTTAAACGGTTGTCTTGCTGTTCCGTGAAGGAAGTTCATAAATTTATATCAGACTTGGGAATAAGTAAAGTACGAAATTTAGGAATATATATACATAGAAAGATTAAAAGAATAATCCTACAATTATTTTCATTAGGTTCATTTAGATGAAGATGATTTAGAAACTATCTTAAAAACTGTCGTTTATGATGGCAATGCAGAGCGTATAATGATGCCCGACGGTTCTTTTGTTTATCGTGCCATTAATGCACCTCTTACTGCCCCCGGCCTTGTACAAATACCTTGTGGGATATGTCCCGTTATAAGAAATTGTTCAAAATGTGGGGATGTAACACCTAATAAATGTATTTATATGACAGATTGGTTGGATTAATATTAATAATAAGTAAATCATTTTAATATCTATGTATGTATGTATACATATATTTAAAAATAAAAATTAAACGAGTTGAAATAAACCAAACTATGTCACTAAGGTTTATTCAAGTCTACCCACCCTACTATTAGCCGCTGTACGTGGCCGTCCACAGCTGTCGTCATAGACCGCTGTCAAAATAGAACGAAAGCAGAATAAAAAATACATTACAGTAAAAGCATTTTCGCTGCTGAATTCTTAAAAAAATAAATGTTTGGAATAACAAATCAGTGATTACGACTTGAAAATACCAACTACTTGATGTTGAACAACATTGTTGAGTTTGTAAAAAATCAAGTATCAATATAAATTATGGGTCTATGCAAATGTCCAAAACGGCAAGTGACGAATCAATTTTGTTTTGAACACCGAGTTAATGTATGTGAAAATTGCATGGTGCAAAACCATTCTAAGGTAATTCCTTTGATTCTTTTAAACGCTGAACAATTAATATAGTTTTCAACTTTTTGCAGTGTATTGTTCAATCATATCTTCAATGGTTACGCGACAGCGATTACGTCTCCAATTGTACATTGTGCTCTTCAACACTTGAACAGGGTGAATGTGTACGCTTAGTATGTTACCGTATGTTGTAATTAAATAAAAGTTAAATCGCAATTTTTGTTCCTTATGCTAGTCATATGTACTTTTATTTGGTTGCAGATGTGTTTCATTGGGATTGCTTGAATGTGAGACAGTCATCATTGCCAAGTAATACAGCGCCACGTGGTCACCAGTGTCCAATTTGTGATATTGAGATATTTCCGAATTTCAATTTAGTGTCACCCGTAGCGGATGCGTTGAAAGCATATTTGTCAAAAGTGAATTGGGGACGAAATGGATTAGGTCTTTCTCTTGTAAGAAATATATATGTATATTTCCACTTACTGTGTTTTAATTATAATTACATTAATTTAGTTGCCTAAAGATAAGTCAGCCGAGTCGAGTTCGAATTTTAAGAGTCAATGTACATCTACCACAGTAGCTGGACCTACCCAGTCTGCAGCAGTTAGTAACATGACCAAAGTTCATCATTCCGTAGGTATGGAGCGTTTAAATGATAATGGGATATTTTCCACGCAAACTATGCGTCATGATAATCCCCATTCTGTTCTGTTAATGGACGCATTTAGTTTACCAGTTGAAAAAAATGTTCATGGTAAGTAGGCATTTAAAATTGTTTCATATTTGAATTTAATGATACCCTATATAGCTAGTAGCAGACGTCCTTTACTGCCCCGTCAGTCGCCTATTGGTGGCACTGATCGTGATGAAAACAAATATAAACGGCGCACAACTTCAGAAATATTTTCACGTTGGTCACGTCGGTTCTATGCGCCCTCTTCTCGTCCACCCTGGCGTCGTACTTGGTTTCTGGTAATAAGTGGTGCATTAGCATTTGTAGTACTCATATACTTGATGGCACTTGTTGGACGTGGCAGTGATAATGAATCTAGCCATGATAGTTGGGATGACCCGAATCCTAAACCAGATGTTCATTATGAATAAAATTAAAATGTTAATGTAATTTTCTGATGATTTAATTTATATAAATCTGAAATCCGTAAACCTTGAAATTAGTTACGAAATATATATTTTTACTAAATGTGTGCAATTATATGATTATAGATTACTAATTATTGATTTTTGGATATTATTAACTAAACTTTGTTAAGGTTGAAATAAATTATAATAATTTCCAAATATTTACAATCAAATTTATAAGAGAAGTCTTCTCTAACTGAAAAAACTGAAATGTTTTTGTATGTACGTACACAGGTATCCATTAAAAAAAATTAAAAATAAATTCGTCATTATTATTTATTCTTTAAAGGTTTCTGAACATTTTCATAGGTCGGCAAAGCGCAGAATCTTACAGTTAACAGATCCACTATCGGTGTAGGACAGACACGAAAAAGAAACCGGTACATTTTGTAACTGAAATTGTTAATGGAAAAGAAATAATTTGTACATTTTTATAACAGCAATTGTTATAAGTAAATAACCATTATTTTAAAATGTTATAAAAATTAGCTTCTTGAAGCCTTTTAATGTACATACATATAATATGTTCGTAATGAGTACGTAACTACCATTCAATTGGACGAAACAAACAACAAAATTTTAAAATGAAAGTTTTACTTTTACACGCGTTGTAACGATCGAATCATTTTTCAGTTTGGTTTTCTCCAAATCGTGTGTTGTAATTAAAACCTTTAATAGGTTCGCCATCGAGTAGTAGTTATGCATCTCATTATTTTAAAAATATATATGTACATATTTAAAGAATATATGTACGTATACAAGCACGTAGCACATTATCGTTGAAAGAATACATAATATTGTTCAACTATAAATTATAATTATATTATAAATTATATTAACATCTGTATGTACATACATATAAATTACTAATATGAATATTGCTATTTATGTAGTACTAACCGCCAGGGCTCATGTATGTACATTGCTTGGGGAATGCTATCTGTTAAAGCAGCTTTAAATTTACTCAACAAATTGGTATCGTGAAATTGATTTGGTGATTTAAAACCCGAAACTACTTTCAGATAGTTGTTGAATTTCCAAAAATAGGCACTATAAAGTTGGCGTTGTTCATCATTAAACGCATCAAACATCACCTTTGCATGATTTTGTTGTCTTGCCGAAATATTGCTAAATTGTACAAAAGATCCAGGAACGAAATTGATCACTTCTACGCCATATTGTTGCATTTCTATACGGAGTGAATCGCACCAGAAACGCAAAGCTGCTTTAGAAGCAGCATATGAGCTTAACGCCGGAAGTGCCTAAAAATTCAATGCAATCAATAATTAAATAATACGACATTCCTATCAAAAAAGGATCGCCAACTGCTTCATATGAATAACATTTTAAAAATGTTTACATGCATGTGTTCCTATTTTGTCTTACCTGCAGACCACAATGGCTGGTGATATTGATTATACGTGCGCGATGCTGCCGTACCAACGGTAATAGCTTTTTGGTGAGACGCATTGTACCCAACACATTTACATTGATTTGCATTTCGAATTGTTCTGAAGTTTGCCATTCAAATTCACCGAAACACATGACGCCGGCATTGTTTACTAATGCCGTGAATTGGTATTCCTCATTAGTGAGCAACAAGTCTTTAATATATTGGAAGGCACATGTAATGGTGTCCCCCTTGAGCAGATCTAGTTCAATAGTGAACATGCGTTGGGAATAGTTGACATTTCGTAATAGGCGAGCACCTTCAGAGTTGGCATCATGACAAGCCGATATAACAGTCATATTCAAGGAATAGCAGTAAAGTGCTAATGAATGTCTGTTTTTGTAAATATAAATTTTTGTAGATACATACATAGGCATATACATGTACATATGTACATTTTCTGAAGCAAAGGATGATTAAAGCAATTGTTCAAGTCGAATGTCGACATGCACAAAGGAGAAGAGTAAGTATAAATTTCTGTGCAATCATGTAGTAAGTAGTGTTAAATGAATTTTTTCATCTACTTACATATGTATATTATAGGTATGTATAAAATAACTTACCCTAATCCAGAATCACAGCCTGTGATAAGGATCACATTTTTTGGTGTCATCATCAGCGTTTTACCACTATAACCAAGTGTCTTTATGAGAGTATACCAGAGCTGATTTTTCATCATTCCGACTTATTTTTATATAATTTCTTATTTATAATATTTTCATGTATGTATAAATATACATACTTATGTATCTATTTTTAGAATTTCAATTTAACTGTGTTTGCGATTTTCAGTATGTGATCACAACGTCGCGATGTTCCGCTATGTTCATACAACACTAATTCACAAAAGAATATAAAACTTCATTCTAATGCTTCATGTTTCGAGTTAATGTATGTACATACATATGTGTGTGAAAATAAAAGTGCCAGTATGCATGAAATACAATCCATTAATTTATTTGCATATACTTTGTATATCGTGCATAAAGTGAATCTAGTTAAAATCTACCATAAGGCCACTCAACAATACAACCGGCACCACTAACACTTGTAGTTCAAATATTTGAAGAATACATGGTGCTCCAGTAATGAATACCATTGGAATAGTACCTAAACCAGTTTTTTATATGGACCATTATGCAAGGTAGTCCAACTAGTCAATTAACTATCTATACTGTAAATAGGTACATTAGTTTTGACTTACACAAGTATTTTATGTATAAATTAAATTCTTTGATAATGAAAAAATTAAATAATTCAATATTATAATACTTACATTCACATAATTTAGACAATGCTTTATATTCCAGCAACATTTTGCACAATATATAATAGTTTAGCTACTCAAACGGTTGTTTATAACACCTAAAACTAAGATACCGAGGTAGATATTGAGTTATAAACATCGAAAGAGTAGCCCTAATAGCTTTGTGGTACATATGTATCTCACAAACTACTGATGATGTCAATCAAACTCGCGAAGAACAAGTCCATCTAGCACTTTTTCATATGGAAAGGAAAACGGGTAAAATTGGATCGTAACTACTCGCAGAAGCACTTTACATTAAGGATGATACGGGAAGACTTCATATGAACCACTGTAAAAATTGAACAACGGCCGTCGCACCGCCCGCTTTTAAGTGGAATCCCATGCTTCAGCCATTAGTCGACCAAACTCAAACACATTTAGTGCATAGCGTTATCTTGATAACTGGTTACGGGTTGAAATGTGCGAAATTGGACAACAATTTTACTCCCCATATAACACAATTTTAAATTAATTTTTTTTTCAACCCAACTACTTTTTGGTTGAAGTTTTGAAATTCGGCATTATGGTTTTCAACTCAACCCGCCAAAAAAAGTGTTGTCAAACTTCAATTTTTTTTTGTATTACGGTTTTCAACTCTGTGCCAGTGAGATTGACTGGAGTATCAAAATATTTCAATTGCTAACAAGCAGTTTTGGCTAAACATTAATGAATTTATCTAGAAAAAATATTAATGGAAAATGGGTAAAAGGAACTATTTTATTTATAATTTCAAACTATTTTAAATCAGTTATTATGTACAAATCCAAGGTGAAAAATTTGTTGAACTTGTGGAGTAAAATTCCGAAACTGGACGAGACAAGCTACAACTTGGACATATTAAAATAATATTAAGGGACCGTGAAAAGTGTTTCGAACATAAATAGTCGATACAATCTATTACTGCTAGGTAGCTAGGTAAGCAAGGAAATGGAGAGTTTGAGGAAATGTTCCTTCATCTCATTTAGTAAAAAAACAAAATTATTCCTCATATAAACAAAAATAATTTATGAATCTGCAACAAACATTATTTAAAAGCCATTTAATTGTCAATAAAACTTTATCATACTTGGTGTTAGGAAGTTCGAATGTATTTAAGTGATAATGAAGGTTTTTTCTTACGCTCAGCACATGAGCTTGCGCCCCAATATTTTTGTCATTGTAATATAAATCAAAACTAATATCAATTTTAATAATTATTCTCCTATTCGTGAGCAATAACTAAATTAAATTGTTTTTGTTTAAAAATTCCCAGCTGTTTAATTATCAAATCTTAATTCATTAGGTTGGCAACGCCAATAAAATTTCGACTGAAAATAGTTGAAAATCCCTATACCAAAACAGAGCAACTCAGCTCTGTTAAATTGTTTCAACTTCAATTCCACCAAGTGGAGTTGAAAACCGTAATAGGGGTAGTATTCTGTCGAATATTTCCGTAAGTGTATGAGTTATATTAATTAAAGTCTGTGGAAACATGATCTCGACCTTACTTCAGTTCAATGCAATCAACTCAGATATTACCAATATATCCAATATAGTCATTTTCTACTTTACGATAGACGTTATTGGCCAATTCATTGTTTTTGATATTTTAATGACATTGAGGGGACATTTTTTCTTGACTACAATATGGTTTTGTGTTATATATGAATAAAATCGGTCGATGCTTGACTTAACCCGCATACCGCCAATATAATGATTTACGTTCCTCTGTCTTTAATTTTTGCTAATTGGAGAGTGTAAATTGTTCGGTTACATTCGAACTTGGTGATATACATACATATTAATTGTACATATTTACAATGTAAATATCAAATACCATTTTGGAAAAGCCTACATGTATATAAGTATATCCGTTGCAATTTTCACTTTCGTCGGTGGTTATCGCCAAAAAAAAAAATATATATATATATAATAAGACAATGTGTAATTATAAGTAGTTTGCTTCATTTATTTCCTTACTTTTGTAATATTCTTTTAATTTGGTGTCGGTATTATAGTGTATTTATTGTAAAATTATGTTTTCAGCTATTTAAATATTTATCTACAATATGTATATTTTTGAATTTTTTTGTCTGCCTTTACCCTAAGCGTTGTCCTCTAATTCCACAATATATTTTTGAAATGTGATAAATCGAATATCATGAATATCATATCTAAAGCGAAAATCATATACATATGTATGTAGGGTAAAGAATTACTAAAAATTTAATTTTGAGCTATAAGTTTTCCTTTATATTTCAAAATTTTTTTCTCTTATTTACTATTATAAAAATATAAATATTGTTTTTAGTTGTGTAGGACAACCAAAATGTAAAAAGTGAGTGTTAAACACTTAAAAGCTTTATTATTTCTTGCATATGTATGCTAGTTATGCAGACATTGTAAAGGCAACTACCATATTTCAAGCTACAAAAAAATCATGCATTTTTGTGGAAGGAGGATTTCGCAACCAGCAGCAAATGCTTAGCAGACTCAAAAACAGTTAAATGTTTACATACTTCTTAGTATTTATTTACTATGTAAAAGAATACGCAGTATTACATAATATTACTAATATATATATTTGTATTAATGGTTTAGAAACTTTGTTGGTACCAAAGAAGCTTATATGAATACATACGTATATAAACACATATATTTACAAATAAATATGCATATCACTGTAGAAAGATATTTAGTTTTTAATTTGTTTTGTTACACATAAAGGCAATTTCAATTGTTCTTTCTAAAGATTATCTTGATTTCTTCACAAATTCAGTTAACCTGACAATACATAATTGTTTTACAATGTTTTGATTTGTTAAAATTACAGCAAATTTTATTACATTAAATTAATGGATTAGTTTTTATAAATTGCTTTTCATGTATATAAATACATATCATTTAATTTTTTTTAATATCACAACGCATTCTCAATGTTGTTAAACACAATTCCGTTAGTTAAGTATCATATTTATAAAAAATAAATTGTAAAATGTAAAATAAATTTTGTGGTTAAAATTCAAAGCAACATAATTTTACGTTTACCTTATTGTATTGTAGTCAAAACTCTTGATTTCGGTTCGTTAAATGAAAACATTAAGATCAAATAAATAACCATAAATTATGAAAATCATCACAACGTGAACCAAATAAATGAGTTTAAAATATAATAATACAATAAATATTCATTTGTTTCTTCCCAATTCAATTCTAATTACTTTCTTTATATTTTGAACGATGGTCAATTTTTTTAAATTAACTCTAAACATTTTTATGTTTATTTTGTAAGATTAAACATATAATAAAATTTTTTATAAAATTGTATTTATGTATGATTGCTTAAAAATTACTCAATTATATGTTACGACCCACAAGTTATACAAAGCAATTGAATCTTTTTGCATCAAAAATAATTTATTTACCTTCATATGTACATATGTATAAAATAAACATTAATCTTCTTTATGGCATCCGTAACGCATGCGCATGCACTTCATTCATTTAATACATATACTAGATACGTAAATATTTTAATGTTTGTATAAATAAGGATTTTTGTGTCTTTGTTTTTGTCTGTTTAAGGCTGCAAGAGTTTTTAGGTCTCACTAATACAATACCACAATACTCATTGAAATTTTGTAAATATTTGACTGGTGTTTCTTAACTATTTCATTCTTACTTCTAACCTCATCTATCCGTCGTCTTTTGTACCAGACTCTTATACTGTTTCAAAAGATTGCCATTTTTATTGTTATAAGCTAACCAATTTTGATGGCTCACTTGTAGGTGTTTGAATTTCTAATGGATGTTTGTTTTGTGATGAGCAATTTGGCACCAATGGACCTGAAACGGGAGTCAATCCAGTGCCACCATCCATCAAAGAGTCGAAATTAAACATGCCTGTCGAGGGGGTTTGTATGGCAACACCATTGATGTCAGTTGGCGGACGTTCTGTATTTAAAGCGAGATTTTGTGCCTGGTTACGTAAGTTTGTAGGTAGAGAGTTGGGACGCTGTTTACCACCACTCAGTATTGGCTTATGTGGGGCACTCAATGTGCCAGTAATAGCGTTACTGATTGCAATACTATTTACTATATTATTATTATTATTGTTGGAAATACTGGTGCCGGAAACAAGACTAGCAAAGCTAACCGGTGCCGCCGTCATAATTGGTGTGTTTAATGATGCGGATGCCGCAGCCAATGAAGCAGATAATGTTGAAACATTCGGCAATGGTGGTTGCACCATCGGATTATTATCAGATAGTAGTATGCGCTTGGGCGATGGAGGTCCATCATGGCCTTGTGATGAATTCGAGTCCAACGTATTATCTAAAGGTTCATTCTTAATGTGGGATACCATATCCAAAATGACAGGTTTAAGATCGATAGGTGAGCCACTTCGCCCTACAGATGACAGCGTGGTATCTACTCCAATAATATTGCTATTACTGTCATTACTATTGCCATTCGTTGGTGCGATCAGTCCATCATAGGTGTGCACGCTCAATAAGTCTTGCCTTACCTTTTGGCACGTAGGTCGATGCGCTTCTAAAATAAAAGCCAATTGGTTTTTGGTAACTTTAAGGTTCTCAATTTCTTTTGTTAACGACTCCCGTATATTTTCCAACCGGTCTACTTCTGTTTGCAGTTCATTAGTTTGATCGACTCGACGCTTTCTACATCGTGCTGCAGCCAATTTGTTACGTTCACGGCGTATGCGTCTCTTCTCCTCTTCCTCGGGAGACATATTAGTTGGTTTAGCAGGACGGCGACCACCTTGATTACGACGCGTCGGTGTGGGTGTAATTGTGGTGTTTGTGGCACTGCTCGAGGTATGAACGTTACTGCTGTTGGGAGAATTTGTGAGCAAAAGATTTCCAGCATGTTTGCCAGTATCTGATCCAATGGCGTTATGTAGCATTGTGAAATCATTTTTTGACGAAGTTGTTGAGGTAGCGAGTGAAGCGTTGCTGGTACCATTGAGTCCATTAGGGAATGAGGCGCTTGCTGAAACACGAAACACAAAACGAATACAATATGCATCTAAGTACCATGGGCATACGCATGTACTTACAATTATCTGTTGTAGCCTGTGAATTATCATCGTGAAGTTGTGAATTCCAGGACGCTTGTGAATCATCCATATCAATCTCATTGTAATTTGGTATAGCACCGCTGAATATAGGGCTAGTGGAATTTTGAATGGAAGTAACAGGCGGTGGTATAAAACCTGCCTGACAGGGAGGATTTGAGTGATCTGCTGTCAACTGTATGAACGTTTCTTCGATGCTGCGTAACGTCGTCGGCGTTAATGTAGATGTGGTTAACGTAGGTACGCCACTTTGAATGCCATCCACTGAAACGAGCTGTAAAAATACTATACATATTAATTATTGTCCATTTAGTTTACTATTAATGATGATGTATAATTAATAATATCGAAAGAATGCTTGCAATTTATGCCCCTAATACGTTATACAACTCATATGCATTTCAGTTGAGGTTTTGAAATTCGGTGTTATCGATAACAACTGAATCCGTCAAAACAAATTTTAGTTGAAGCACTGCCGAACTTCAATTATTTTACATTACCATTTACTGTGCCTGTGCGGTTGTTTACGATAGCAAACAAGTAAGGAAGGGCTAAGTGGAGGTGTAACCGAACTTTTCAAATTACACACATATGTAAATATTAAATAAATTCAACGAAAGAAGCTAAGTATAATATATTCGCCATTTTAGTAAGAAGTCACACAGAGTTAATCAGTCGTGTTAAATCACATTATTTTTAAGAAACTTGTTCACTTAATTTCATAAAAATATGATAAATTTTGACCAACATAAATGGTTCAACGCCAGGTGGAAAGTAGGAAATCATAGTATCAGGCATATTGGGGATAGGTGAAGGTCTGCAATGACTGCATTAAACTCTGGTATATCAATATTATATGATCACTTAATTACATATTATATATTCTTATCCCCCATATATTAGGGGAAGTATTAACCCGATTTTACTAATTTTTGACATAAGCACAGATTGTTTTTGGGAAAAGATTCTTTTTGAATTTCATCACACATGTTAGCCGACATTTTCAGTAAAATGTCAATAATCGTTAAAACCTCCTTAACAATTTTAGCCAGTCCAACGCTAAAACGCAGCCGTTTATCGCATATGTTTATTGAGAACTTCTCCGAAATCCATAATTTTACAAATTATTTTTTGTACAAGTACGTAAATATACTATTGTATATATGTACATACGTATGAATGTATGTGTGAAGACAGTATAAGTATAAGGTATATAAATAAGGCATTTCACACATACATATGTGTGTTGCAATTCAAAAGTTTGCCCAAGTAATTAAAAGTAATAAGTATTTTTATAACAATTACAGTATGCAATCTGATCATATTCAATATTAATATATTTTAGTCTTGGGTCATGTTTGGAGAAAATTATAAAACACTTTCACTTTAAGCCCCTTGAATAGCACATCTATTCAAAATTCTATTACATTCCAATAAATTGATTCTTTGGAGGTGTGGTACGTTTTTTTATAAATAGTATGAAAAATGTGACATTCAAGTGACGACGAGTGGGTATACTCGTATAATTACATACTACGTAAGTATGTAACTATCTACCTGCTGCATAAAAAGCTCATTAGCTAGAAAATTTGCGATTTCGTAAGCATCCATCGAGAATCGACAATCCGCAGCCGTGTTGACGGTGTCGATAGTTCCTTCCACATCATTGGTATTGCATTCGTCACTATTACCGGGCGCTATGGGCAAATTGACCGGAAAGGAGGTAGAATTGTTAGTAACTGTCTCAGGTAGTTGAAGTAGTTGCGGTTGCTGTTTTTCAATCAAAGTTCTCTCTAACAGTTGCTGATTATTTGGATTATTATTGTCATTACTAGAATTACCACCACTTTGACGTGCTCTTTGTTGTGGTTCATATTGTAATTGAAAATGTTGCTGGGGCTGCAAGCATTGCGTGCATTGTTGATGAGTTAAGTGTCGTTGCTGTTGTTGAATATTATGGTGATTATGTTGTTGTTGCAACTGCGCATGCCGATTATTAGCAATTAATGTTTGTGGCGACTCTAACTGGTGCTGCTGAAGTTTATTGCTGTTACTTATTTTATTTAACATATTATTTCTATAGTAAGAACCATGGTTATTGTTCAGGTTATTTTCTATATGGGATAGGTAATCTGTATCATGCGTGCATTGTGGTGAAGAAGGTATTGAAATTGTTGGATTGCTGTTTGTATCAACATTTATTGCTTTGTCAGCTGTATAGTGATTATGTTGTTGCGTTGCTGACTGCTGGTACCAAGGATATGAAGAAAATTGCTGCAGTGGTGACATTGTTGGCATTGGCAATGGCTGAGTAGCCGTTAAATCGTCTAATTTTTGCTGGCGCTGTTGCTTTTGCTGTGTTTGGTGTTGTTGGCGTTCTGGTTGATGTTGCCCGAAGCGGAAAATATGTGCACGCTGCTGATGTAATGGATGCACCGAGTTGTTGTGTACATTTTGATGGGATTGCCGTTGCGCATTCGTATGCTGGTACCCTGAGTACGTTTGATAATTATATTGCCTCATAAATAAGTTTTATCTTGCGCCGTTCGATGGGGAAAAAGTGTAGAATTTTTATTTAAAACTTATCAAACTACTTAACAGTTATAAATAGCCTTTTATTATTTTATTTAAATTATATTATATAAAGAATGGCATAAATATATATATAAATATTTTGCCTCCACCACTTTAGATTGAGCGTAAATAAAGGGTGGTAATACTCCTAAATATAATGAACCATAACACTGTACCTTTGCGGTGTAAAATATCTTAAATTTATAATTTTAATATAATAGCTTCTAATGACTAATTATAAGTCTTTTTTTACTACTATGAAGTATGCACTTGTAAAATCAGCATATATATGGTTAATGATCTCTCTTTTCAAACAATTTTATTTATTTTACTTTTAAAACTTTTATAAATTTCTTAAATTATATATTTATTTATTTATTCTTCGAGTTCGAATTTTTCCACTTTTGGTTTGAGTTTCGTATGTTCGATGAATACATTTATACGTATTCTAAAACAGTTTCGTACAGGATCGTAAACTGGTCGAGTTTTGTGTAACGATATTTTTCGATACTACTTTATCATCTTCAAATGTTTTTGTAGCATGTTATACCGGCACTTTTAAATCACAAATTTCATCAATTTTTATGATTAATTTAAATTTCCTTTTCTTTGTAATTTCGTTGGCTTATGTCTCTGGTGGTTAAATTTGATTGAAAATAAGTTTTTTGAGCGCATTAAGCACACTCTGCTCGTAGTGGCGTGAAAGGTCGTCACTGTGGATGAGGACTGCTTTTGCCTCTTTTGTCGTCGATATTTTGTCGTTGATATTTTGGGTTTGATTTTTAACTTTTCAACGTTAAGCTTGATTGCGTTGCTCGAAATCATCGCCGTACACATAATAACTTATTAACTAGTCAGAATCGAGGTGAAAGTATTTATATTATTTTATGCACTTAACCCTGCTGAGCCATGAGGCCTCTAAAGATGCTAAAATAAAATTCCTTTAAATCTAAACTTGCCCTACGCCTAAATCATAGTCATGTTAACTTTTTAGAAGCAATGTTAAGTGTGGTACATAGGTACTTTGTAAACGTTGTTTATATTTTCCTCGTAATATGTACATTCATACACGCATTTGCATTTTTTATTTAATTATGTAACGTTGTTTCACTATTGACTTTCTTGTGCTAAGTTCGTTTTCAATTCGTGCTTTTTTTACAATATCGTATAATCGTTATTTGAAAATGGAAAATTTTTATTTTGTCGTTACTCGTTTTTGTTTTTCGTAAAGTGTATTTTGAAAATACTATATACGTTCGTTCGACAATTTTGCGCGTATATGTCTTGTTTTCTTCTCTGCTTCCATATATTTTATTTCATTCTATTATTGGGACGCAATATGACCTCCTCCTTTCCTTTTTCAATTCAAAACCCACTGAAGTCTGCTATGCATTCGTTTTTTCAAACAATTTTTGTTAATGAATTTTTTTTATGTAGGTATTATTTAGAACTTATTTGTGAAATAAAACACGCAACGGACACGTACAAGTCTGCCAAACAGACAGTCACTTCAGGGGATCGATATTCGTATTAAACTAATTTTTAATTTTCTTCTCACTATTTGCGAAGAGGAAATTTTTAATTTAAAGAATCTAAAATACATGCACCAACACCATAGCGCGCAGTTGACTATATACATTGGTGTGTGTATGTATAAATTTTTGCACACATGCACCTAAACACACACATTTGAACATTGTAGCAACTGAATGTGGATCAAAGAGCAATGAGTGTGAGTATTGACTTAACTTGCAAATTCAAATGTGGTCCACCGTACGTTGTTAAAACGTATGACATTTAGTGAGTGTAAGCTTAAAAAAAGTAGGAACGATGGCAACGTTATCCCGCATTGGCAATCGCCACAATTGCCCTTTCGCTACTTGATCACGCGATACAGAGAGCAATAGAGCAGCAGCATATGTTATGCTTAGTTGTAGCTGAGAACAGAGAAGAATTTCATTCTTCTTCTACGTTCTCTGGTTGTAGTGCGCAGAATTATCAAGGAACGGGTGGGCGACGGCTTGTTGAAAGCAAATGTTGTGCACGACGATCTGTTGATGGACTCGTTTAGTCCACTATAAAACGAAAAACCGAACGGCAAGAGTCCACAATATTTGAAACGCAGCATCCCCCAAGGAAATATGTATATAACACATCTCAAAACATAGATAGACGAGAGCAAAAGTCAGAAAAAATATTACTACTCTATTTTTAGTTTTATACCTACCATGAGTGTGTGTTTTATTTTGCATTTGTACTGTATTTACCCTTTAAATTTTATCTATTATAACAAATTCAACATCGGTTTGTTCGTGATTTGGACATTTGTGCATTGACATTTTAGTGGAATTCTTTGCTATTTATTGTTGCTATTCATAAAACCTAATTGGTTAAATTTTGCGGCATATATTCTTTATATGTTTTCAATGAGCATATAAGTATATTCAAGTGATTACTTTTACCCTAATACATATTCGTACCACAAATCAAACAAAATAGCTTTAATTTTGTATGATTATGTATATATGTATGCATGTATATACTAGGGTGGGTCAAAAACTCGATTGTTTTTTTTCGCTCCGTACTCTGAGAAATTGGTTGATAGACACCTCTAAAAAACGCCCTCCAAGTATGAGTAAAGTTGATATCTCGCTTTCAACTCATAATAAATAAAAACTAGACAACCGTTAGGTGGAGTATCTTTCCGTTACAATTAAGAGTTCATACTTGGAGAGCCTTTCTTAGAAGTGTCTATTAACCAAGTTTTCAGAGTACGAAGCGAAAAATTAAAAAAATGGGGTTTTATGACCCACCCTGATGTATGTATATATGTATGTTTGTATAAATAAACATACATTGTCACGTCAGTATTTTTCATCGCCTCAAACAGGTGCTTCGCTCTTTATGTCTTTTTGTTGTCGAATTTTAACTTTTTCTCTGATCTGGCGAGTTCGAGGACGAGAGAACGTAAAAAATAAGTATTTGTGTACAATTAAATTTTTTGACTCCACAATGAGTGCTTTTAAATTGAATTATTCATTACAGAATTTATGTAATTTTAAATTTTTATAAATTCATAATATAATTAAATATAGGGGCTTTGGAAGGTTAACGCACATTTTCAGTAATGTTTCAGCGCAAACAGCATATGTTTGTATTGATACGTAAGCATATATTTTTTACTTTACAAATACATTATAAGTATGAATATGAGACTCCTGGGTATTTAGGTAATAGCAATCAAAGCGAATTACAATAGTTGAAATATGGGGCGTGGGTCAATTATTAGTCACCTTCAATTCAATTGTATACTTCGAATGTCAAGTAGAAAATGTAGAAGAAAGAAATACGAAAGATTTTTGATAACTAGTTTTTCTACCGATTCCATTAGTTTACGTATGTATGTAGTATGTTCATGCATTTGTACGAGTTGAAATAAATAAATGCATGCAAATACATATAGATATACATACATACATATGCATATATATATGTACCAATATGAATATATTGAAATTTATATAACGATGAATACTTAAAGATTGAGCTTTCTCGATGAAGCTTGGTATATTTTTTCAAATATGTAGATACATTAGAAGGGTATATAATTCTTATGGGTGCTCAAAACCATTTGCGATGTATACCTATTTCTGTCGTTCCGACGTACAAGTAAATGCAAGCCAAATTTCATTACGATTCCCCTGGTACATTAAGTGAATTTCTGTGATCTCTTAATATCATCCTTTTATTTTTTTTATTGCTTTTTTCTTCCAATAAAATAAAAGCTGAAATAGCGGTACTCTTTCTAACCATTGTATAAATCTACAAGTAACCAATCCTAAGTTTGCTTTGTCCAAAATATTATTTATTGTCTCAAAATATAATATTATAAAATGTTTTAAATTTTATCAGAAATATTTTTAAAATAATTGCGTAACGGTTTGTGAATCTATGTTTTTGTGCAACCGTGTGTCTAAAGTCATTTCAACGGACATTTTTTTAAGCTTTAGAAGCTTCAACTTTACTCATAAAAACACTAAAATAATATAAAGCTGTGTATTATTACTGCTTATTATTATTCAAGGAGACATTCAGAGTGAGTAAGTAAAATAACATTAATTAATTAAATTTGTTTATATAATTATATAGGGTGCCCTACAGAAAGTGTGTCGCTGGCTGCAGATTTGGGGTGCCGCTGTATCGCTGTATGAAGGGGAAATATCCAGGTGAGTTTTATGTATAAAAATATAAAATATATAAAAATATTATCGTACGTTTATAAATAGGTGTCTTTGTCAATATTTGATAGAGGTATTACTGAAGAAGATTTTTCTTCACTTCAGAAAATCAAAATGATAATTGCCAGTTAGTAAAACCACCCCCTGAATTTATAGATTTTCTGTCAAAAATCGAAGATATTTATACACAACATTTTGATCCATATAATATTGTTGTGAAAAAGTGAAACAAAGTAATCTTAAAAACGTTAAGTTCTTGTGTGTTACATATAAATAGTAATCACGTACGTTTGTCTGCCTATATGTGTCGGAATTTATATACTTACATGTCTGTCAGTCTGAATTCTTTTATAATTGTAAATATGTTTATTTGCCGAAGACCTCATTTCCATAGTTACCTGGATTTATGATTTTTAAATGAGAACTTTTGCGATTGGGTTTCTACGCTAATTATTACGTTTTATTTTGTTTTTTTTTTAAGTTTTTCTCCACCACTATTCCTTTGATAGGGTTTTTTAATAAGTATTTTCTGAGGGTGATTTAAAATATTTTGTAAATATTATTCATCACTTAGTATATTGTCTTATTACGGCCGAAGTATGTAAGCTAGATGGGTCAATCCATTCATGGGCGCTAAGTTTACACGCCTTACGAAGTGCGCTCTTCGTACGAATTCTGGGTATTTCGTGAAGATACCTCACCAAATAAAAAAGTTTTCCATAGAATCTCTTTATTCCGATCGTTCAGTTAACATGGCAGCTATATGCTATTGTCATCCGATCTATACAATTTCTTCGGATATTGCATTATTGTCTGAAGTTATATTTTCGTGCAGATACCTCGTCAAATAAAAGAGATTTCCATACAAGCACTTTATTCCGATTGTTAAGCTTGAATTTTTTTACATTCTCTGAACTAAGCAAATCTATCCACATCACCTCTGATTATTCGACGGAATCGTGAATGGATTGCAATCAAATTCGTATTTTATTCAGTTATCTCACAGGTCCTAGACTCACTTAATTTTATTGCTATATTTTACTACGCGTATAAGGTTTAGACCACATCTATTTTTTAGGAAAACTTGTCCACTTAATTTCATTAAAATATCACGCAATTTGTTAAGAATTAGTTTAAAGACAGCTGGAAAGTCTGAAATCACTATAAAAAGTATATTGGGGGCAGAGAAAAGCCTGGGCTTGTTGCATTAACCTTTGCTCAGGTAGACACAAACACATATTTTCAATCAATTTATAAATAAATAAATCACACACTGACCGGCATATTCGGAATATGTAGTATATGGGTGTTGGCATTAAACTACTTATAGCATATCTAATATTATACGTTCAAGACACTCACATATTGCATTTGTTCTGTGCAAATTTGAGTGATATAGTTTGAATGATTTGGGAGATATGTATATATGTATTGTACATTAAACCTATCATGGCTACGACCACTTTTAAAAGATTGTGCAAGTGCCCTTCCTAAATCGTATTATAGTTTTGTATCTTAATGTGCGGTTTAGTTATGGCAGGTTTTCGGTTGATAGGGTTTTGTGGGTGTGTCAGTGGTACGATTACGCCCATCTACTATACCATCCTCCCGATTTGATCAAGGAATACGTGTACAAAGTTTCATGACGATATTTCAATTAATTTTACTCAAGGTACAGCTTGTATAAACAGACGACGGATGCATTCGTAATTCTGATCATTTATGTTTTAGGTTGGCAACTAAGTGATTGCTGGCGTAGTCCAAATGTAAAACACATTTTGTTATTTGATAGTTGGCAATTCAGCTGTCAATCAGTAAAAAAAAGTTTTTTGATCGATTGCGTAGTTTTCGTTTGGCATTCGTTGAAAAATCGAAGATCAAAAGGAACATTTTCGTCATATTTTGCTTTTTTATTTTCGCAAAGGGAAAAACGCATCGCAAGCTCACAAAAAGTTATGTGCTGTTTATGGCGACGAAACCATATCGTTCTGATGATTTTTCACTCAAAGATCCTCCAGTTGAAGTTGATGACGACCTAATCAAAGCAATAATCGATTCGGATCGTCACAGTACAACACGTGAGATTGCAGAGAAGCTTCAGGTATCTCATACATGCATTGAAAATCACTTAAAACAACTTGGCTGTGTTCAAAAACTCGATACATGGGTTCCTCACAAACTGAAAGAAACGCATTTAACGCAACGCATTAGCAGCTGCGATTTGCTAAGGAAACGTAATGAAAATTATCCATTTTTAAAACAAATGATAACTGGAGATGAAAAATGGGTTGTTTACAACAATATCGAGCGGAAAAAATCGTGGAGCAGGCCAGGTGAACCAGCTCAAACAACATCAAAAGCTGGTATTCATCAAAAGAAGGTTTTGTTATCAGTTTGGTGGGATTATAAAGGAATTGTCTACTTTGAACTCTTACCACCCAACCGAACGATCAATTCTGTTGTCTACATTGAACAACTAACGAAATTAAACAATACAGTTGAAGAAAAGCGGCCCTAATTGATAAATCGAAAAGGTGTTGTATTCCATCATGACAA